ACACACACACACACACACAGCGTATATCACTACACAGCCCTACAGGGACAGAACCATTATCAGCCCCTACTGTTGGCTCCATCATCGTCTCTCTCACACACACGCACACACACAGACACACATGCACACACACGCACACACACAGACACACATGCACACACACACACACACACAGACACACAAACACAAACACACACAAACACACCAAATGCCAAGGCATTCAGGGCTGCAGGAGACAGAAGGGTGCTCTGTGTACCCTGGTGTCTGTATCTGTAGAGGCAGCGATCCCTCTCGAGACCTAGAGAAGACCGCTGACAATAGAGTTGCAAAAACTGAGAGAATTTTCAAATTAAAAAAATTCAGATTTGAAAAACAGTGAGTGTGTTTACATGTGCTTTAGTATCCTGGTTTTGAGCCTTGTCCTGTTTTTGACTTGGGATGTAGCATGTACATGGAACATGAAAAACCTTGCTATTCATATCCCTGTATACATGATCATAACAGTATCCAGGTGTCTGATTGTCTGCCTGCAGGTGGATCTTGATTTCACACCATCTCAGCCACCAAGAGATGCTTCTGTAACTGTTTATATGCGCAAAACATAACCAGGATACTATTGTAGACAAGTGTAAACACACTCAGTGTTGCATTGTAAAATAAAACACAATTTGCAAATCTAATAGTATGGTTAATGGTATCTGTGTAGAACATCAACAACATATTGATTGTGGCTGAACTTATTTGTAGGCTCAGAGCATTAAAGCTTTTCTATCCTGTCACTCTTTCCCATGAAACTTTTATCTACCATGAAGTCCTTTTGGTGAACACTGTCGGACTCCAGAAAGCCATCTCTATTATCATCCACCCAGACTTGTGATAATGAGAAGCCATACTGTGTAGCTGAAAGAGAGGCTGTCAGGTTTACATGGGCACCGACACCATAGATTGAATTAAAGAGACAGTAAGTGACTTAGTAGTTGCATGAATTCCGAATGTTTTTGTAATTAGGATTCATTGCATCTACACTGTAGTACAGTCCATCGGCGGAGGCAGGTAAGGAGTTGAGACAATGTAATTATGAGATGTTAATGATGCTTGTTTGTGCTAATGCTGGTTGAAGGTAAAGTGTGTGGCAGGTTGGGGAGATACAGTAAATGACAGCATTGATTCAGCAGCTGTAGAGATGTTAGCATAGAGTCTGTTGGTGAAGCTTCAGTAAAACACAGCTGTGAGGATGAACTGGCTCTGACTGTGGCCTTTGTTCTTACACATCACACGCCTCATGCACATAAATGTGTGAACAAAAAGACGTGTGCATGTACTGATATGTGGAAATGCACGTACACACCTCCACTGATGTGTTCGGTAGCACATAAGGTCAGCAGGAAACAGAGACGGGGGTGCAAAGTAATTTCATAACCCCTTATATATCTGCAAAGTGCCCTCACATCTACACTTTCATCCACCACAGCTCCACTCCACCAACACACTCACTCTGTTAGTTAGTATCAAAGTGAAGAAAAAAGCTTGACAATGTGAATGATATTAGAAAACTGTTGAAATTACAGGTAATGTAAAGGGACCAGTGTGTAGTATTTAGTGGCATCTAGCGGTGAACTTGGGAATGAGAACAGGCTGTGAAGTGTGTAAGAGAAACTACGATGGCTACGAAACTCACAAAAAAACACAAAAGCACAATCTACAACAACCAGTGTTTGGTTTGTCCGTCCTGGACGACTGTAGAAACATGGCGGTTGAACATGGCGGACTGAAGGTGACCTGCGGTGTCTGTAGATAAAAGGCTCATTCTAAGGTAACACAAACATAAGGATTGTTATATTCAGGTCATTATACATTAATCAAAACCTGCCCATGGATATTATATTCCATTTCTGCCAATAGAGCCTCCTAAATGTTACACACTGGACCTTTTAACGTGTTCCTGTTTTTTCCTCCAGATTATGTGACATCAGGTGGTTCAGATAGTTCAGCTGTTTAAATGGTACGCCACAGTTTCAGATAGAAGAAAGAAGGAAAATCCCAAAAGTCCTCAGTTGTCCAAACAGGTGCTTTAGATCAGAAGCTTTTGTGAAAAGTTGTTTTTTGAAAATTTGAGGTTTTGAATGCCTAACTGACAATAGGTTTTTGGATTATTTTTATAGCTTTATAATAAAGCTAATGTTTGATGTACATGATCCACAGTTCACTAACTGCTCCTCGTCTCTTCCGTTCTATTACTCTGCGTCTCTATCCTTTAGTGCTCTTTTATGCAAAGTGTTCATTAACCACGTAACCTTTTACTTTGAATTACAGTATAGCTCATTTTGCTGCTTGCCTGCAGGTCTAACTAAAGGAGCACGTTGGACCATTAGTCATTCTGTCATGGCACACTGACTGGCCCGGTTCTCAGTCATTCAGCTAACCTGCTGGCCAGCCGATCGCTCAGCAAGTCAAGCATGCATCCCTCTATCCAGTCACCCACCCTTCTGCAGCGGCCAGCCAGGCGGTGGTTGTAATGCTGAAAGAGTTGTGACTGCAGCTGAACTGTGCAATTGTTTAGACATGTGAGGCAGATTGGGGACCATCTGCTTCCTTTTCTGTCTCTCTCTCTACATTTCTGTCACTTCTTCTTTCGGCAGCTTCATCTTCTTCTCTTCCTCCATTCTTATCCTGTTCTTGTCTTTTGCTCTCCACTAAGGGGTTTTGTCAGGGAGCTCTGACATGCAAGTGACCTGTTGAACCAGGTAGAGCATTATATATGGGTGACAATTTAAAGGAAGAAACAACACAAACCTCCTCGTCTCTGGAACTCTCTCCATTCTCTTATAGTTGTTTAATTGATTCATTTCTTTCTCATCAAACCATTTATTGACCCCTCAAGTCTTGTATTGAATCATCAGCATTTGTCATGTTTCTCTACTCATTTGTTCATTAATTTATTAGTTTTTCCTTTAATTTGTCACCTTTCTGTACACCTCTTTTTCCTGTCCTTTACTTAAACTCTTGTCTATCCTTGCCACTGAATCTGTACCACTCAATGTACTAAAAGATATTTTGTTTCCTTGTTCTCTGTCTCTCAGTCTCTATAAAAAGTCACTGTTGATGCTAAGTGGAAGTTTGTTCTTGTTTACAAACCACTACTATAATCCAGCCCCATTTCTCAATTGTCATTACCGTAATGATCTCGTTTTGGATGTTTAATGAGCACTACTTTGATGTACTCATTGAGTTTGAGTGAACATAGAGTGAAGGTTATTGCAGCCGGTCTCATCTGCTATAGGAAGTTTTCCTCTTATATAGGAGGAGGATTTTTTTGGCCGTCTGCAGTATACTTTAGGCTGTACAGTGTTTTCACAGTTTAATTAACTTAATTGATTACCTTATCGGGTGTGGAGGCAGTTTCTCATGTATTTTCCTTGTAGAGCTGCTGCACTTAAAAACTGCTGTTAACGTTTTTCCAGCTTTTCATCACACCTGCAAATAAAAGTAACGTGTGTGTGTGAATAGAGCAGTGATATTGACTGGCTGCTGCCTCGGGCGTCTCTTTCTTATTACTGTGTTGAATAGAAAACCTCTTCATCTCCCAGCTGCAGCCTAGGCTCACTTTATATAATAGCAAATGTTTACGATGTGGCATTACTACTGGATCTGACATTATATCTACTTTATCCAGCGAAACCCACATCTGTTTTTATTCTGCTTGAACTAAACATTTTCATGTGACATTTAAATACTGGTGACAGACCAGGTCTGAGTGATGAGAAGGTCAACTGCTTCTGGAAAGAATATGTGAAGCACACAGAGATTATAGTTTGATATTTGATAAATATTTGTGAGACCTGGCTGTCACATTGTTTTATTGCAGTTTAGGTACAATGTATGTTAAAGACCCATACCAGTAAAGAACCACTGACATGAATTGAAGTGTTTGTGTGAACATAATGCAGAAGTTCACACTGTGTGTTTGTTCGTGTACAGTATGTGGGCTTGGTGGGTAACTCAGTCAGGTGTCAGGTATCCTGCTGTGAATGAGACAGAGGATTATTTGAGACAGAGCATCAATGCTGATTGAATTGGCTGCTCCTGAAAAAGACATGCAGGGTTTTGTCAGACCGAAGAGAGACGGAAGGAAGCTGTTGATCTAATTGTAACACTGAATGGATGTCTGTTTGGCTCGGTGCAGACAATCCTACAGGAACGCACCTACAGGAATACATTTTTTGAAAATTGGCAGAGTTGGACATCTAGTAGGTCATGAAAACACAGACACCCAAATAAGCAACTGTGTGTCCCCCTTGTTCACTCTAGTAATGGCTTACACTGATAGTAGGCAACATCATTCAAAGTTATGTGACGGGCTACTCCTTCATTCACACACAATTACTGAGATCATGCAATGGTTATTTAAGATATTTAACAGTATGGCAAAGACTTTAACTCATTATTGAACCTAATTCTGCACTAACCTACAGTTAATGTACTCAGATACATGTCTAACTCAAAACTGTAACAAAAAAGAAAGAGAAATAGCAGGTGAACAGGAGAACTCTCACTTACCTCTGTTTAAAAAAAAGAAAAGCAGGTATTTGTTGTAGCTGAAAGTATTCATTATTCAGCTGTTTATCTTTATAGCAACTATAGATTCTCACCTTCTCTGTAATTATTTGTCGTCTCACCTATTATCACTTAACATGGTGTACAATTACATGTAAGCATGGAGAGATGACATGAGGGGTGATTTTAATGTCTAACCTCATCACTTTTGTTTTGGCCCTGCTGTATGTATACTGCTGTCTCCTCACTGTTCTTGTTTAGAAAAAGTTTTGACGTGGCTTCATCTTTCAGTACTTCTCGCCTCAAATAAAAAACAACAATCTAAAACCCTTCATTGGGTCAAGGTCATAAAAGTGCAACAGTGATTATGTTTATATTTATGTACTTTTTCCTTCGGCGATCACCTAATCACCATTTGTTTGTCTCTCTTCTTGTTCTTTCTCCAGTCACAGATGAAGACACCGTGAAGAGATACTATGCTAAGTTTGAGGAAAGGTTTTTCCAGACCTGCGAGAAGGAGCTGCTGAAAATCAACACATTCTATTCAGGTATTTATTTACTTCAATTACACTCGAGGTAACGATTGCTGGACACGGAGTATATAAAATCAAAGTCAAATAAGGAAAGCTGTTTCACATCAATTGTGTGATTGTGGGGCTGGTAGTCAGAGGAACCAATTTTGAAGCAATATCACCATAATTTAATAAAAGAATATTCTTTATGATGGATTGTGCTCTGTAATAATCCTTCCTCCCTGATTTTAAATTAACTTAACCTATTATTGTCGTAACAGTTTGTGTGGTATATAAAAATATCTTGTATATACCATGCTATAAAGACTCTTATAGGTATTAGCTATCATCGCCTATCATCATTTTACAAATTAGCATTGATTAACTTTGTACTAAGCTGCCTATTTTAGTGCGAAATGACATTGTGTCCAATCTTGGTAATTTGATTGAAGTAGCCAGTGGTTGTCATGTTTAGTCGAGCAGGCCTGCCTGTGTGTATTTCAGGGAGCAAGGGGGGAGTATGTGTATGCCATGTAACATGAGATGGAAGCCATAATATATTCTGGTATTCTGGTACCAGAAGGTTGCCTTCTGGTTTTGAACTCCAGCTCAGGGGGAATTGGGAGGTATTTAAAGAGGGACAGTGCTTCCCCTAGAGGCTGTTTGTGAAACTACAGGTCAGCTGAGGGCCAAGGTTGACGGGGAAGATTGTTCCAGCTCATAATGATGGGAAATAACTGGCAGATGGATGGTTCGAGCAGCTAAACAACAAGATGTATATCATTGCAGAGCTTGTTTAGCAGGACGTGGATTTACTGAGATACTGAATAAACATCCATGTCTTGTTATCTCGTCCTGTATTAACCTGATCCATTATCTGCTGGAGATAATAATGTAATTCCTTTGCTAAGGACAGAACAGTACACTTGACTTAAGTCCCCCGTAATTTAGCACTTACTTATTTTGTAATAATACGTTAGTTGTAAACAGATCTAAAGACATTTCCAAGTGTTTAATAATGTGCAGTATTTCTTAGCAATTATAACTTATTCTGTGAAGACTATTTTATCATACATTATCTGTTTATACACCAGCTTCACCTCATGGTTGCCCACAGGAGGAGTTAAAGTTGTTGATAAATACAACACTTAAATCCTCTTATATATATCTGGGTAGGTGAAGGTCAGAGTTGTGAGGCTTTGGATTTTTTTTTTTTGGTCTACTCATAAATAAATGTTATTGTCTGTCTACGTGAATAAAAACAGGATAAGGAATAGAACAAAACAAACAGTCATCATTAATGATGTTTTTAGAGCTACATGTGACATGTGTAAGTCTGTTGACAGCAGAGTCGCTTAGCATCAGTATTACAGTCAGTGAGTCACTGCCTCCTCAGCAGACCTGAGGTGTGAGGTTAGTTAAATGTTGTGTATGAAAACATCAGCGTCTCCTTCCTGCTCTCAGGCGTCCTGTTTATCCTCCACACACAGGAGGATGAAGCAAGAAATTGCCAAATTGTGTCCGACAGGCAGCTTTATCTGATGCCAGTTACTGGCTGTATTTTCGAAAAAGCTGGTTAGGTTGTGAGTGAGTGAGAGAGAGAGAGAGAGAGAGAGAGAGAGAGAGAGAGAGAGCTGTGCTGACTTTACATAAGACACCTGCCTCCACATAGCTCTATCTCTGTATCTCCCTCTGAAAGGGGTCCTTGACCTCTCAAAACAATTTTGCTGCAATGCGCTGAAACCCAGTCTGTTGGACACTTTCATCTTGATGGGTTGAACACATTTTTGCAGACTGCTGTTTTAATAGAAAATCCTTTCACCCCGTTTGTTCTTGAAAGCTTAGGAAGAACAACAGACTTTAACCTTCTCCAGTAAACCCACACAGTGGAAATCTAAACCACCAACACCTGTCTGTTTAAGGTTCATTAGCCTAACACACTGTCCAGGTATGTCCTCTCTTGCAAAGTGCCACTGTGATCCGGACCTGAGAGTTAATGGTGGGCGGTCAGGGTCTTGACTTTTTCAGGTCTCCTGCTGCTGTCATGTGTTCATCCAAGCATTGTTATGACTGTATGAGAGGAGTAGAAGGATTTCAGTGAGTGTGGTATCTGGAGAATGTGTGTGTGTGTGTGTGTGTGTGTGTGTGTGTGTGTGTGTGTGTGTGTGTGTGTGTGTGTGTGTGTGTGTGTGTGTGTGTGTGTGTGTGTGTGTGTGTGTGTGTGTGTGTGTGTGTGTGTGTTTTCAAACAACAAAGCATGAAAGTTAACAGTGAGCCCTCCACATCATCACCACTGCTTGTCTCAGTTTAGGCTAGAGACAAAGCTATTGGAGCTTCTGTTCCCCAGACTGTCAGACACATACTGCACTGCTCTTATTGGGACTCCAAGTTCCTTTAATGGTTTCCAAACCACAGCTGGATGACGTCACAGCAGGACTAAAAATGACTTTCACATTTCTCCAAACAAGAAGTAAACACACTAGCGTTATACTAAAGCTAGTTAACTAGTATGAATATAACCTAAAACACATGTCCATCAATAAATCATTAATGTTGACTAGGTACAAGCCACTGTGTATTAGGGTGATGAGAGAGGATGTGCATAAAATTGGCCAGCCAGCCTGCACACTGATTAAACACACGCAAATTTGATTTCATTAATAAATACTGCTTGTCTTAGTCTGTGTGACTGGGAGTCTGTACCTCTATTTTTAGCACATCATTCATAAGAATAGAAGGAAGAGAATGGATGAAGGAGATAGTAAAGAGGCCATAAAAGACGTGGGCTTCACTGTTCAGTGAATTAAGCTGGTGTGACTTCTGATGATTAAAAAAAAAAACAACTAGAAAAAGCAGCAGAAGAATGGGGGCTAATCTTTTTCAGAGAAGTAGGTGGGAGTGCAAGAGAAGTTAATGAAATGCAGGTTATTGCCCAGGCCCTGTGTGATTCCCTCCCCTCCTCTCTCTCTTTCTGGGTATATTAACCTATCTTTGACCCAGATAATGGTTCCTCCCTCTGCAGCATTTACATGTCAGCTCAGCCTAATAGTCTCCATGCTTCTGCTTCCTGGAACAGACAGCAGGAGAGCAGAAGAGACAGGGTGTATAAAAGTTGTTTTTCCTTGTCCTCTACCAAGATCATTGATGTCAAACTGAAGCAGCTAGTTGATGTGTCTTACTAGTAGTTTGTCAGGGTCTTCTTCCTTCTCTCCTACAGTTATACTGGTTAGATTATCTAAACACAAGTCAAACAGAGTGAAGATTTTTTTTTCAGTTTGTTTAACAGAATTAACTCATTAATGCAGATTATTTAGTTTAGTGTATTGGTTTAATAATGGATGTTATTAATAAATTATTCTATTTTTTGTCCAGTTTTACCCACAATAGATTGTAGAACCCCCTAACCCTAACCCATGAAGTCATCAGATCAGACTACATAAAATCTAACTGAGAAAGTTAAGTTGGCCAGGTCTCCCTCAGAAAAGAGTTTTAAATTTCAAGGGATTTCCTGGATAAATAAAAGTTAACTAAAATAAATAAAATACAGATAATAGTCAGTCAGGTATACAGTGGCTAAAAGTAGTTCAGTTGTTCTCCAAATGTAATATGTGCATTGTTTTTAAAAAAGCATGAATGTGGTGCAGTATACGCACAATAAGCTAGGCTAAGACCTCTTTTTAATTATGTTCTTGTCTTCCCACTTGTAGAAAAGCTTGCTGAAGCCCAGAGACGTTTTGCCACACTGCAGAATGAGCTGCAGTCTTCACTGGACGCTCAGCGTGAGAGCAACGCTCCGCCCGGCCTGCGAAAACGCAAGACAATGTTCCACCTGTCCCAGGAGGAGCGCTGCAAACACCACAACATCAAGGACCTGAAGCTAGCCTTCAGCGAGTTCTACCTCAGCCTCATCCTGCTCCAGAACTACCAGGTTTCAGCACACACACTCATGCATTCTCAGACACACCTGCAGTCAAGATCGAAAAGTTCTTCAGTACAAATTAATTTGTGCTTTATGTCCAATCTGTTTGTCTGGGAAGGATAAGTTATAACAGTTTCATTGTTGCTGTCCACAGAACCTGAACTTCACTGGTTTCCGTAAGATCCTGAAGAAGCATGACAAGATCCTGGACACTTCTCGCGGGGCAGACTGGCGTGTGGCTCACGTGGAGGTGGCACCTTTCTACACCTGCAAGAAGATCACACAGCTTATCTCAGAGACAGAGGTGCCTGCTGGCATATACACAAACACATAAATACACAGTATGATACAAAGATGTTGGTGGAAAACAATGCACATACATTAAAACATTGTTGTTTGTGTGTGTATTTGTGTGTATAGACCCTCGTCACCACAGAGCTGGAGGGAGGAGATCGTCAGAAGGCCATGAAGAGGTTGAGAGTTCCTCCACTGGGGGCAGCTCAGGTCAGAAGTACAGCTGGTTACACTGGAAATTACTCAGTGATATGAGCCTAATTTACTTTTGCCTGCAAACTAATGCCTTCTTGGAACAAGCACTTACAGGCCTCAAATGCAGAAGAGTGACGAAGAGTGTTTATGATATCAGCCATTTTCGCTTCAGTTTATACAATTTGATTTATGTTCAAAGTAGGCAAGTAGGATGTGTGCAATTATAATATTTTTCAGTCTCCCCTAAAAATAGCCATTCAACTCTATAGTGTTAAATTAATTGGATCCAAACTTGTGCCTGAGAAAATATCCCAGCAATAATAATCTTACTATAATGTTGGTTTTATGATGCTTTGTTGGTAGTGAACAAAGATTAAAAACAAAATGTGAGAGCCTTGTTATGAGATAAATAGAGAGGGGGAGGAAGATGGGAAGAGACAAAGAAAGAGAAACCACGAGTGCCTCCAGTATTGATTTTATAAGTGCCTTTCCACTGTTGAACAGACAGGATATCTTTCAGAAACAATCGAGGCTAGTGGCACTTTACTCCCCTATGTTATATCTACTGTTATTACTGCATTAATTAATGTCATGTCTGACTTGAATTGTGCTATGTGACTATTGATCTCTCCATTCCCCCCGCAGGCATGTGTATAATGTAAATATATTCAAGCACATAAAAAGAGTGAGAGGGCCTTTATATCGAGACACATTCAATAAGTTTTATTTCATATGTTTTATGAAAATGATTGAACTCTATTGATACAGTATCTGTGCTCTTGTTAATATACACAGTGGCTAAGTGTCTTCTTAAGTACTATTATCAACGTTATTAATGTTTTTCTGTATTTCTCTCTGCCTGGTTCAGCCTGCTTTGGCCTGGACAACCTTTCGTGTCGGTCTCTACTGCGGCTTCTTTATTATTCTCGCCATCTCCTTCATTCTCACTGGTGAGTCACATAGGCATCCAGATTCGTACATTTTTCATATCCTGTTGAGCCCAGCACCATTTATAGTGTCACTTTAAGATAACAGGTAGTTCTAGTAGATCGTTTAAGGTTAATTGGGAGCATGAAACGGCAGGTTTTTATTGTTGTTTCCCCTCAGAATATCCACTGTGTTTTATCAGGTGCTGTGTTCATCCGCTTCGAGAATGTGTGGCCACTGGTGCGGATCTATCGGGGCGGTTTCCTGTTGATCCAGTTCCTCTTCCTGTTGGGCATCAACACATACGGATGGAGACAGGCCGGAGTCAACCATGTCCTCATCTTTGAGATCAACCCCCGAAACAACCTCTCACACCAACACCTGTTTGAGGTCAGAACGAAGAAACAATTATTTCTGTTGGAGCCCCAATTCTTCAGAAAATAAACTTTTTCTCTGTAATGAAGAAAACCAACTTTGTTTTCAAATTGATTTGGGTAATGATGCATTTTTAAAATATGCATTAGGAATGAATGGGGTTGTTTAATCATTAGGGGTAATCCAGATTTAAGAAATATATTACTGTGTAAAAAAAGAAGATTTTATTCAGCAGAAACAATACATGCCTATCCACACGGTTTTATTTATACAAAACACATAATTTGTATTGAATTATTCATATTACCTTGTTAATTGTGGTTATGTGTCAGAAGTGCTTTCTTTTAATGCCAGTTTCTTCTGTTTCTCCTCTGTGTGCTGCAGATTGCTGGTTTCCTGGGTGTGTTGTGGTGTCTCAGCATCCTCTCCTGTCTCTACTCAGAGTACACCTACATCCCCATGCAGATCAACCCGCTCATCCTCTATGGCTTCATGGTGCTCTTCCTCCTCAACCCCTTCAAGACCTGCTACTACAAATCACGTTTCTGGCTTCTCAAGCTTCTGGTCAGTACACTCACTTATTTATTGGAGCATTTATTTTACACAGCTGCGGCTTTAGTTTGAAAGAATTACAATGATGCCATTTGAACTTCGGTGCCACCAATCATACTCTCTCTGAAAATGTGTCTAACCGCTGTGTGTTTTGTAAGAAGAATGTCGAACTGGATAAATGAGCCCAACAGTCAAAGTTCATGGATACACAAAGACAAATGTTGACAGCTGTGAACCAGCAGTAAGTAATGCATTAGGAAACTGCCATAGCAAAATGAACCAAATGCAAACAAGATGAGACAATTTGAGAGGGCTGAATGTAGAATTAACATGGAAGAAATTCATGTGCAAAAGCCAGGTTTAATGTGAAATTTGTAGGTATTCATATTAAAGAGAGCGGTGGTTATTTTTATACACGTGAACTCAACCAGTCATTTGTTTTTGGGTAAAACAACCAAACCAAATGTTTACCCAAACCTTAATAAGCTATTTTACTCTAACCCTAACTAAAATCATTTTTCAGACTTTAAACCCCCAAAATAGACAGAAAACGTATTTAATATAACATATTTGTGCTTAACAAAAAATCATAGTTTGCTTAAGTTTGAGGGGCTAGAGATTTGTTTTGACTGCATTGTCCTTAATATGTGGGTCACTGACACGAAAGAAAACTATTATAAATGTGTTTGTGTGAACTATTATTTTTTTTACAGCTGTGTATTTTGTATTGTATTGTGCTGCTGACAATTTAAATATGCTCTGTGTGTGTGTGTGTGTGTGTGTGTGTGTGTGTGTGTGTGTGTGTGTGTGTGTGTGTGTGCGGTGTGTGTGTGGTTGTGTGTGAGTGTGTGTGGTTGGTTGTGTGTGAGTGTGTGTGGTTGGTTGTGTGTGTGTGTGTGTGTGTGTGCATCCTAATCTCACACAATGGGTGCATGTACAATTCAGATATCTATCTCAAGTCTCATGTTTACAAAACCCTCCTATGTTACTCTGTTCTTTGTCTAAGCCAAGCTACAGGGCTGCAGGAGAGAGGGTGTGTGTGTGTGTGTGTGTGTGTGTGTGTGTGTGTGTGTGTGTGTGTGTGTGTGTGTGTGTGTGTGTGTGTGTGTGTGTGTGTGTGTGTGTGTGTGTGTGTAGGGGGCTGTAGTGAAACAGAGGGCAGAGGGTTGAGGGATAATAGAATGCAGCCTCGTCCCAGGGGAGGTGGAGGTTGTGACTGTGCAATCATTACAGGCATAGATCTATCAGTATGCTGATGCCCAGAGCTCCTCTGTCCCTCCTCCTCTTCCGTGTCTTCCTCCTCCTCCTCGTTCTTCAGCCCTCCTCCCTGCCTGCCCGCCTGCCTCTCCCCCAGCAGCAGACCCCCTCCTCATATTCTTGTCCTTCCCTTCACAGCTCCCCACAGTCCTTAGCAACGCTCCCTCAGCCCTCCTCCGCTGATAGTAATCAGCCTCAGTCTTGATTGGTCCCGAGCAACAACCTACACAGAAATTAGAGCTGAAATTAGCTGTTTTTCATGATTGTCATACATGTGGCCTCGTGGAATAACCAATATGTTATTATGGATGTTTCAGGAGAAATTGTAGTTATATTGGAACAAACAATCAGTTTGTGTTTTTTTACTATCAGTGCTCTAAAATGATCCAGTTGTGCTAATTTCCTCTGACAATAAAAACCAGACAAAAGACAAAGATTTCATTACAGGACAAACTGTGCAGGTAGCACCTGGATTACTAGTGTTTGCTCAAGAAATGAAAATCTAACCACATCACTGCAGCAGGCTTAGCCTTGAGACATCCACACAGATAGAGCGGATATGGGTGAGATGGCCACTCGATCAATACAGACTTTGATTGACAGGTTAAGAGAAATATGCAATGAGCTGATACGTGTAAAAAAGAAACGATCAATATTCTCTGACATTTGCAGTGGAGGGGAGAGTGTGTGCGGGGTTTACGTCTCAAAGTGTACATGGAGAGAGGCATACAGTCGCTCCTGAATGTCAGATGTGGCCTGAGGCGCGGGGGTAAATGGAAAGAGTCGAGCAGGGTTGTATCATTTTACAAAGCGTGGTCAATAACTGAACTCCTGCCAAAAGTCATATCCCAAATAACATGCCCATAGAAGCCAAAGCTGGCCACAAAACACTGCCAGGTTGTTTCATGCGTTTGTGCTGCACACCAGTGAGTAGTGACACACAAATAAACAAGCTTGCACGCAGACACAAAGCGTGACTCATTAGGGTGTCCTGTGGTGTGCTGATAAGGTAGTCTGGAGGCTCAATCCCTTTGTGTGTTACAGATCATTAATAGAGGTTGTTCCCTGCTTTGCACTTCTCTACTGAAGTACTGTGACAATTCCACACAAATTAATTGTTGACTAATTCAGTCGCACTGCTGAAAGCGCACGCACACACAATCATAATTCTCTCTAACATCTGTGGTCAATTATGTCAGCCAAGGTGTTTCAAAAATGGGGAATATTTATGTTTTTCTTAGATGCTTTTAGATACTTTTCCTTTTTTAGTAGTAGAAGGTAAGTGTATATAAGTGTGTCTTTCTCACCTTCCTTTTTCCAGTTTCGCGTGTTCACCGCACCGTTTCACCGGGTGGAGTTTGCAGACTTCTGGCTGGCTGATCAGCTCAACTCGCTGGTGTTTGTTCTGATGGATCTGGAGTATCTGATCTGCTTCTACATCTTTGAGCTGCAGTGGAGCAACAGCAAGGGCCTGCTGCCCAAGTTTAAAGGTGGGACATTAATCCATGTTCAGAATGGCTTAATCGTTAACTTTATATCCTCTGTACCTCTGTCTGTGAACAGATCAAAAATAGCACTTTGGAGCCAGGGACGGTAATGTTAATGCTCTGTTACAGAAAAAGAAAATATCTAAAAATACTTTGTAAACATCGTAAAAGAGCTAAAAGCAATGTAATATAATGCCAGTTTGTTTTTTGGCTATGAATTCTTATTTCTTTATTATATGGATTTCATGAAACGTTAAAGAGAAAGGTCGCTCTTTCTAGACTCAGCATTTCCCTGAAGAATAGGCAGAGATATCTCTGCATCGACAGCAGCCTCAGTCAACAGTAACGCAGTTCAGCCTCACAATATTCGTAGTCCTGAATAAATACCTGTTCTCAGGGTGTTGTTGAAAAGCAATATGGGGAAAGTAGGAAATATTAAGGAAAATCTACCAACTGAAGTAGATATACATAAATGAGGTGTGTGGAAAGTGGGGACACCAAAAACATACAGCAAAACTTGAACACAAAACAATCCTGGACTGTAGTAAACTAATATATTTTTCATATTTCTTGGTTATTATAGTGTTTTTTCTTCACCTGCTGCATGTCATCATGATATGGAGATAAAGACACAAATCCTTTGGTTGTAAATGTGACGGACTAAATTGACTGTTTGCCAGCTGAGCTGTCAGGAAATGTGATGTGAATGAGGTTTTAATTGCTGTCCGTCCACTCCACCAACAGTGACACCTCGGCCTCCACGCAGCCAATTAACACAGAGCTAATGGAACGGAAATGTTTGGCCACTCAGAGTTCGCCACGTGACTCTCATAATGATGAGCTTCTCCGTGCGAAGGGGAATGTGCTGGGAGGGCATTATGGTAGAGAAAATGAAAAAGAGGACAAGAGATTACAACATAATCATGCTCTGTTTTATTCTTTTCCAGACCCTAATGACTACGTATGCCACAGCTACTCATACGGTCTGCGTGCCATCATTCAGTGTCTGCCCGCCTGGTTCCGTTTCATCCAATGCCTGAGGCGTTACCGTGACACCAAGAGGGCCTTCCCTCACCTGGTGAACGCTGGGAAATATTCTACCACCTTCTTTGTTGTCACATTCGCTGCGCTCTACGCCACACACAGAGGTAGGACACACAAACATATGTACACTTTCTATCTATTTTATGTGTCATGTACCTCAGATAGTAGGTTTGATCTGAGCTGAGTCAACACGTAAAAGTGGATCTTCAATTGTAATGCTGTAAATCCAACTCACAAACACAGGGGAACCCAGAAAAGACAGAAATTTGATATTAAGCTAAAAGTCTACAGACCACAGCAACAATATTTGTGTGTCCCTGTCAGAGAAGCATGTCAACAACACACAAGCTTTTGAGCCTTTGTACTGAGTCATATGTGCTCAGAAGGCAGAGGTGACCTTGAGTGCAAATGCTAGAAGTTGGCCTTGGTTTCCTTGTCGGTGCTTAGAGCTTTATAATGGAAATGGTAAAGACTTTGTCAAACACAGTCACAGATAAACAAGGTTCTGTTCCCACAATATGGCCTTCAGGGTCAAAGCAGGAGAGAAGAGATGGAGCAGAGAAAAGCAGAAGTAACAGAATAGAAAAAGAAAGAGAAAGAAAGAGAAATATTACTATTAAAATTCAAGTCACTCCCGCTGACAGCTTCACAATTAGCCTGCAATATTCTGATTTAGAAGTCATATCACAAAGGAGTTCATGTTCAAAGACACAGCACCCAGGCAATAATAGTATCCCTTTAACATGCATCTTTGTATTTCAGTTCACCGTCATAGATATTTGTTCACCTCACTCGTTTCAAAGCATTTTTTTATATAAATATTTATTTGCCAGTAAAATGCCAACTTCATCTTCAACCTTTGAAAGTGCTAAATGTTATTTCCCAGCTTGACTTTATTCTTTTCCGATTTGAATTTTAATCAATACGCTTGCTTCTTAAGCTGACCGCCAGTGATCTGATGTTGAATGAACCAGGAAGAGAGACAGACAGACAGACAGACATACAGATGGACCTTTTTTTTCTTCCACAGCTCGGTAGGAAAGGCGTCCATTAAACCATATCCTCCTTCCTCCTCTGGTCTGAAGCCTGTAGACTAATGGCCTCTCTTCATGTGTTATTCTGTATGAAGCTGTCTTTCATCCAGCATGATAATGGAGGCTGAGACCAATCGCTGGTTAAGGGGAGGAGCAGGGTGGGAAGACAGACGACTGCAGACATACACACATAGATAGTGAATGGATGGTTGAGGAAATTGCCTGTTGTGGAGATATTTGATGTATCCTCTGCAGAACTTAATGTTCTGGTAAATCTTGAACATTAACAAACGTGGGAAGTATATCCTGCATCCAAATATGGAAATGATAAGTAAACCTCAGAAGCAATGAAAGAAGAAGCCTCTGATGCTGTCTGTAGTGTTAGTGTAGGCAGGACAGATGATGTCTGCATTACCCAGCATCTGCCTGAAAAGACAGCGGGGTGGTGTCGTGTTCACACCGCTGGGTCCAGCTGTAAAAGGTGGCTGCAGTGTCAGTCAGTATCTGGCAGAGCTCCCAGCGTCTGTCTGTGGATGTGTCACCTTCATTGCTAACCTGCTCACAGCCCCCGATGGTTTCTGTCTGACCTCATCGCCTCACTCATTCCCGGAACTGCACACATTTAGCTCCAGGAAAGAAAAAAATTAAGCAAATAAATCATGGGCTTATCTTTAGAGGGCTGAGTGGTATTCAGTGACCAGTTCTTCTATTTGCAAATCTAAATCTGTAATATTATGAGATACACTTTCCTCTCTGTTGCTAGAAAAGTAAATTTTTTTGGCTGTGTTGAGTCATTGTGGGATTTGAGAGTTGAATATCTTTAATGTGGTGCAGCAAACGAAGCCTCCGAGAAACGTTCAGTTCAGTGCTGTGAAGAACTGATTGGACACTGTCATGAAACTGTAATTTCAGCAGATGCTCAGAGGCTTGTAACCGGAAGAGATGATGGAGGATTTCCTGGTTTAGGCAGAATTCCCAAACCTTGTAGAACAGTGTGATGCCTTACAATAAAGAAGATTACTTTACTCAGGATCAATACAGGCTCAGCTTTATGTACAGTGGCTTGAGACTTATTGCTGTTTCAGATTCAGGGGGAGTTACAGGCCTAATGCTAATTTAAACCTTTGGGATTTAGCTCATGGACATGCAAAGGCAGGAGAACAAGATGTTGCATAGTGGCCAGGAATAGCATCTGATGGACAGAGAAAAGTTACTTGTAGGGGGAAATTAGTAAAAAATGAGAGATCATCAATGAGACAAACTGCAGAGGTGTTTGTATAGTCAATGCACAGACTCTTTTATAGATATCAACATCAAAAACCCCCAAAACCAGCTGAAATAACCTTGACCAAAGAGGAACATTAGTCCTGCTGGTCTCTGTGAGAGGCTGACCGCGGTGGTGTGAGGCAGAAATAAATCGAGTCAAGCTGCAGCAAAGGTTCAGTAAATTTAGAGCTGATTGAGCCCAGAGAGGGAGGTAAAAATGAAAGGTTAGATGGAGAGAGGAAAGAAGTAATGGACAAAACAGGAGAGCACCAGAGGAAGGTGAGAAAGATTGGCATGAAAGGGATGGAGATTCAAAGATTGAATAGATATCAAAACACAAATAACAGTAGGAAAAGGACGACGAGAGGAGAGGAGAGGAGAGGAGAGGAGGTGTAATTACCAGCCCGGGGCTGAACACATGTCTGCTGGACTCTGCTGGAATAGAGATGAGCCCAGAGCTGACAGCTTTTATAACTGCATTTAATGTACTGACCCCTCGTTCATTATAAAGAGAGGAATTGCAGCACACACCGACACATCCTCAGTCAAACACACACGTTACCCAATGAAGATAAAAGATGCGTCTCTGAGTCAAATGTCTCTCTCTGCATGCTTGAACTCTAATTCACCCCTGCTCCTCCTCCTGCTACAGCTAATATATTTACATCAGGAGCCAGAAAGGAGCTGAGTTAACCGTCTGATAAAGTTACATCCTCTGTGGATGTAAACAATGGGCTTCACGAAACAACAATACTCACATACATACCTGTTTGAGTGTTGGAATGAATATATTTGGTTGCATGAGGTCTGTGGTTGAGAGGTCTCCAGATATGGGATTCTTAATTATCTTGTTGAGGGAGTGGGTTGCCATGGCAACAGATGAGATATCGCTCTTTATAGTAGGGACTGATTGCTCTTGTTGTGAACTTGTTTCTGTCAGTGTGGAACGTGAGCATAAAATAAGAAGGACAATGACAGTTTCATTTCCTCTGCCATCCACTGATTTTTTTTTCAAATTTTTAAATAATAATTAAACAAAATCTTGTACATTTTGTAAGAGGTAAAGTTTGTATAAGAGCGTTGAAAAGCAGGTCAGCGGGAGACCTGAGAGGAAACTATAAAAGTCAAAGGTTCGGTAAAAATAAAACAGCATTACAGGGTAATAACTTCAGTACTTCCACAAAATCTAATCGTAAGGGCCTTACACCCTTAATCCATTTGGTCCAAAACTTAAGGAATACATTTTTCAGAAGATGAAGAGAGAAAGACATAATTGTCATTTACAATATCTATACACTCATGTATTGTTGAAGGTTCACGAAGCAACCAGCGCCTTTTTTACAAGCAGATATCAAGATACCAAACATATATTCATCAAAACAACTTCAACTTTTCCTAAAAACTTTTCCTAAAATAATTATGTGGGAAGTTTTAAGGGCAAATCAATGTTAAGTATTCTTTTTAGTCTTTTGTGGAGCTCATCCCAGAAAGGTCTTGTCACAGGACACCAGCCAGTGACTGGCTTCCTGAAACCCACACTGTCTCCAACATTTAGCAGCGATGAAGTGCTCTGTCGTTAATAGTGTTTAACCTCATCGGTGCCTGTGAACGACGTGTGTGAGACAGAGACAGACTACTAGCAACTGAGTGTGTGTGACAGGAGCCAGTGACCACCGTCAGTCCCTACTGAGCATCCAATCAATGTCCATCTCACCATGCTTAACCTTTAATGGCCCAGTGGCTAACCAGCCTGGTGGAAAAAACCCAGCCCTAACAGAAACTGAAGGGTTAAATACTTCAACACTTTACAAGCTGAGCAAATCACATCAGTGGATATTCTCCAGTGAAAAGAGTCTATTGTCCAGGACTGAGTTTAATCTACGGCTGGGAAATCTCAGTGTGGCCGTAGGGACTACTTGCATCCCATCGCTCAGCTGAAGAAGCAAACAGCACAATGGACCCAGCAGTTAACAGAGCAGCACAGCAGTAATTCTCTGGTAGAAATACCTCCCCTCTGCTCCCCGGCGTCTTGTTGGCTGCTAGCAGGAAGAAGGAGTGACTGTGACAAATGGGAGCAAGCTTGGTCTCTGTCTGGTGGCCGCTGTCTGTGTGAGACACTGTGATAGGCCACCGGGTGCTGATCTATGTATCAGCACCCACTGAGGAACAAGCTAATCACATCCACAGTGATTGTGCATAGACACACAGACGCTCCTGAGCCAATTGATTTAACCAGGTTGAACCACATGAATACTTGAAACAGAAACAATATATGGAGACACACACGTATATGTGCACATACAGTTCAACAGATGCACAGTTTCATACAACTATTATTATTATTATTATTATTATTATTATTATTATTATTATTATTAGCATTGGGGCACCCTAACTTGAGCCTATATATATATATATATATATATATATATATATATATATATATATATATATATATATATATATATATTTGCATTACCTCAGAAGAATACACACATATAGGTCAAATTAACATTAAAGAACTGACACATAATTTCAGTTCCTGTATGTAACTGTAATAACAAGCTTTCCTCCATAAAGAGTCAGCAGTAGTAGTGTTTGTACAGAACCCCCTTATATAAAAATGAAATTATGAAAAAAAGAATATATGTTTTATTATTGCCCAGTGCAGGTATTGTCTGAACTGAGCTACAACCAAAGCAGCAACCCAGCAAGTTATTTCATGTTTTGCCATCTTCCATTTGGTGGAAAATGTTATGTTGCAAGAAGAAATTAAACTCTTAGCAGTTGTCTACAGGACAGCTATTAATCATTGCCTGTGTATTAATGACAGGAGAGCCCCCTCTAGTGGCCAAAGTGTTGTTGCACTGACTCACTTGAGAAAGGTGGTAGATCCTGTAAAGTTTCATTTTAAAAATCCAGTTCCTTTCATGCTAAAGTTTTGAACAGATTTTGAAAAGATCTTTGAGTCTTATTTGAAGAAAATGTATTAATGTGTTGTGTTTGTGTGTTTATTCCAGAGCAAGGACATACAGACGCCGACATGTTCTTCTACCTGCTGATCGTGTTCTCCGCTATCAGCTCGCTGTACACACTGATCTGGGATCTGCGCATGGACTGGGGCCTGTTTGACCGCGGAGCTGGAGAAAACACCTTCCTCAGAGAAGAAATTGTTTATCCACACAAGGTAGAGTCTGAGAGGAATACTACACATACATACATACACACACACACACACACACACACACACACACACACACACACACACACACACACACACAGCTACCCTAACCCTGTCTCCTCTGCGTCCAGGCCTACTACTACTGTGCCATTATAGAAGATGTGATCCTGCGTTTTGCCTGGACGATCCAGATCTCTCTGATCACAATGACCAAGATCCACTCTGTGGGCGACATCGTAGCCACGGTGCTGGCTCCCCTCGAGGTCTTCAGGTGGGTCTCACTTACATGATACCTTCTTGTTATGCACATATACTTTAGATGCAGTTCATCAAACACCCCACATTGATGAGTGACACAGTTCAACCTTCTCTCTGCAGGCGTTTTGTGTGGAACTTCTTCCGTCTGGAGAACGAGCACCTGAATAACTGTGGTGAGTTTCGTGCTGTGAGGGATATCTCTGTGGCACCACTCAATGCCGATGACCAGACGCTGCTGGAGCAGATGATGGACCAGGATGATGGCGTGCGAAACCGCTCAGGCAAAAAGACCTGGAAGAGGTCCTACAGCCTGTCGCTCCGACGCCCCCTACTGTCCTCATCACAGTAAGACATAACATGGACACTTGACATCAGCCTCATGCACTCATACATTTTTATTTTAGTTTGATTTATAAACACTGAGCTGGTAAAAAAGTATAATATTATTAATAGTAAACAATCAAAGACCTTAAAGAAAGTTTGGTTTACATTAACATTATAATATAAAATACAATATCCCTTCGTCAGGGATTTCCATTGTTTCCCTGGTGTTTTCAACCGTTTGTCAAGATGGAGACAGAGGTTCAATGTCTGACTTTAGGAAACATCAGAAAACAGGAACTAAAGAAGTTATAAAACTGTATTAAATGTTTAGTAGTGCTTTGACTTACAAGCCAGTTTTTAAACAATTTCATCACTAAAACTGAGTGGAAACAGCTGGAGAGTTTAAAAGAAGGTAAGTTGTGTCCTTGAAGTAAGGGACATATCAAATTAAAACACATAAGACACCGGTTGTATGATTTGATTCAAGATGCAACTATCACTGACTTAAAACATAAAACAACATTAAAATATCTGTTGAAGTTGTAATATAAAATTAATATGTTAGATAATATATATATTTTTTAATCCTCTTTTCTAGATCGAGAAAGGACACAAAGGTGCTAATTGAAGACACGGATGATGAGGCTTTCAGCTGAGTCCACAACGTCAGCACGCACACACACAGAACATACTATACTTATAAGGACCTCATTCACTAACACCCAACCTCAACCCTTCTCCCTTATAGATATAAGTGTAGTAACCTTCAGTCTAAACCTTTAAAGCAGTGAGGACCTCCGGCTGCATTCACTTTGGACAATTTACCTCATATACATGTGAGTATATTTGGTCTTTATAAGTATAGAAACACACACAGACACGATACACACTGTAATGCAGAAACACATAAAGATAAACCTACTGAAGCACAAGAATAGTATAGTATTGCTACTGTTGAGGAGAGCGCTAATGCCACACACACACACACACACACACACACACACACACACACACACACACACACACACACACACACACACAGATAGACACACAGACAGACATCAGGGGAAATCTTCTGCACGTTAATGGAAACACAGACCACACTGCCCTGGGATTATTATCCTCTTCTTTTTTTTAAAAGGATTTCTTATGTTGAGATATTTGTGTTTGTTTAGATTTTTTCTTTACTTTTTTCTGGATTTATGACTGTTTACACAGCTTTTTAAAACTAAACTAGGATTAACAGGGAGAAGCCAATCAAAAGACTAAATAATAATTATAGGAACTTGAGGAAGGACTCTACACACATCACAGCATATCAAAAACAAATCAACTGGTTTCAGCTTGTTGATTCTTTTTATACTCCAACTTTTTTTTGTTTTGGTTGAGTTGTAATAATGTCAATCACAGCCCTGGAGGCACTTGCAGGAAAAGTGCATTTAATACACAAAAAGAAAAAACCTACTTGTACACTAAAAGGGATGTTTTGATTTAAACATTTCTAGTCTACGAAGTTGCTTTGTAATATATTTCATATATTTTGATGTGCATTATTACTCTATTGTAGTCGTTGAGTACTTCTACATGTGTTGTTTATACTAGTGAGACTAGTTTGAGCATCTCCACGATGATTGTTGATGTATTTTATAATGTTTGGAATGTTTTTTCTTGGTTGTGCCATGTTTTTAATAAGATCATAGTTAAGACACCCAACCTCGAGTTAGGGCAAACTGACTCGTGAATCGTCATGTCATCTTAAAGTGCCCCGATTAGCTACATGCGTATGTGCATGGCTGTTCTTTGCATTAACTACCAAAGCTTAATTTTTATGAATGTGTCCGTGGCTACTTTAGCTCTGCCAACCCAACCTGTACAAAGCTTATTTACAAAAGTGCATATTTCACTGGGCCGTTGTAGCCGGCTGGTTCTGTCTGTCTTGTTGGAAATCTGAGTGATATGAGCAGAACTGTGTCAGGAACAGAGTGATGTGACGCACCGCTTCAGATGTTCAGCTGAATCGTCTGTGAGTCAAGAACAGTGTTCATACCGGTGGTTCTCAAAGCGGGAGTGGGACCATACGGTGGGGGGAAAAAATATGGAGTATGTTTAAAAATTGAATGACTCTGATTCATGATGGTTACAATAATCAAACAAGAGTGCTGTGATGCTAGCAAGGCCTTCAACATTCAGGTCAACAAGATTTATTCACGCAGCAAAACACGACGTGTCAAGTACAAGCTGGCCTGTTGTTGTGCATGAGAAAGAAAAGAGAGAGAAAAACATGCACAGAAAGAAAAAGGCAGACCATGTTCAAGATGTTACTGGAGTGAAGTTCAAATTGGCTCATTTTGTTAATAGTTTTATTAACATGAAGTGAATTTATTTCACCTTTGGATGTGACAGAAGAAGTTTGAGAACCACCCGGTATGTTGAAACACTTCATATTCTCACCAGACTCGAGTGCTGCTAGAAATCCTGAGCTCCCTGACAAAAAGCTCAGCGCTGCCAGATGAGGCGGTCTTTTATTCAATGGTTGCAGATAAAAACGGTTTGTGCAGCTTGTGATCATTTGGGTTACTATTTGGGTGGTTTCTTCTAACAAAAAGTTAAGCTATAACCCAATGAATCAGCCTCTTTTGACTTGGTTCCCCTAATTATAAAACAGAAAAACCTCAACAAACATCTGAATTGGGCACGTTTGAGGCTCTGATTGAGCTCCTTGGTTGGTAGTCAAATATATTATTATAATAAAATAACATTCAGGTCTCTTTAACAGTAAATATCTCTAACCTGTGACGTGTTTCACAGCTCCTGTATCAGTCCGGTTTCACCACATTCAGCGTTCATGTTACCAGATACATGTTGTTTGTCTCTAATGTTCAATGTCGCCTCATTTTAGCACTTTTAAAAAAAATAATTTCAGGTGTTTTTTATTTGTTAATCTATTAATCTTAGATAAGTTAGTAACAATCAGGAAAAAAAATGTGCTGTACATCTGACATCCACTGTCTGCCTCTACGGCTTCTTTTAAACCAGCGGCTCACACTTTGACAGCTGTTTGGTTGTAATTTGAAATTGTGTCGCTGCTGTTGAAGGGCCCCCTCTGGTTTTCAGAGAAAAGGATGCTAAATCTAATGCTGGTGTGTGTGTGTTTGACTTTCTCTTCCTGTTCGACCCCCACACTCTGCTCTCTGCTCTGCTGTTCCTCCCTGTGGCTACACCCCGTCACCACCAGCCAGTCATGAGACAAAGCCCAGAGAGCTATATGACAAAATGTGTTACACAAAGTCCTGTTTCTTCTACTTCTTGTTTTTCCCGTAGCGGCTAAAAAAGACTGAAAAGCTTCTGTGTGCGATAAGGTTAATGTGAACTTGGAAAGCTAGAAATTTAAAACAAATGTGTTGTACTTGTTAGAATGTAGAAGACGGGTAGCTTCCCTATCCATTTAAATACACTGGATACATGCCATGTAAGTGTATAGGGGCATAAAACATCTCACACACACACACACACACACACACACACACACACACACACACACACACAAATCTCTCTCTCTCTCTCTCTCTCTCTCTCTCTCTCTCTCTCGTCGGAGAGCACAACACTACAGCAGATAGTTTTGTAAAAAGGCTCTGTTGTCTTGCCTGCATGCTGCTTTTGTTCTACATTGTACATAGACCTTAATTTATTTGACATGATGTGTATATTAGCGATCATTGGAGCCACCATGACAATGATCGATTTCATACGTTGCCATTTTTGCTCCGAGACAAACAGTATTTTTTAGGTGATGAGGAGCTTTTTATTTTGTTTTCTTTGATTGGTCACAATCCTGCACTCTTTTTTCATGTGTAAATCTGTTTAAAATGTGTTTGTATAAAAATAGGAAGAAAAAAATCCATAGAACTGGAGAATGTGATTGGTTGTATCTCGTTGGTGATTCCTTCTTCTTTCAAGGCTCCGTCATCTCCGGGGGGTTTTTTTGCGTCCAGGGCTCATGGAGGAGGTGGGGGAACAAAAAAAAAAAAAAAAAAGGGGGTGGAGGGGGGCAGATTACTGTGTCCTGAAGCTGTAATACTGTTTGTACATTTGTGAATGTGCATGAAAATATTGTGGACGTTACATCTGTTGTTATAAACTGCCCTGCTGACAGAAGCACTTTGACATACTGTAGGGCACAGGAACAGAGAGGACCCTCGCCATATAACTAAATACTGTTCAACTGATCCCAGATCTGCCTGAGCTTCACTTTGAATACCTCTCAAGCAGATTTAGGATCTTTTTTTATTTGCTCGCTGAAAGCATTTTTGACATGCTTCGAAACAAATGTTTAAGTGACCAGTGTCTGTTCGCAGATGTTCAGTAACCCACTGACGAAAAAAAAAAAAACAGGGTTCTTTTTGTACAGTTTGTTTGACGAGACGATGAAGGTGACAAAGCCCCGTTGTGACATCCCATTTTTGTCATGGGTGTAAAAATCGAAGATGGTTTTGTTTTCACTGCTTGCTGAAACCCCCCATGATGTTAAAGTGCTCTACATGTGTGCATCCCTCGCCTACCTTCCTCCCCTCTCTCGATGTTGTTTGTACCCTTTCTCTAATCTAGCTGAATGTGATAGTACCTGTAGTTTGGTAGATGATGTTCTACTTTGATGAGATACAAAAAAAAAGAATAATAATAGGATAAATACATTGTGGTTAAATGTGATTTTAAGAGGCATAAAGAAAGGAAAATGTCTTGGAGTCTGAACCATCCTCCCCCTCGAGTCCCTTTTACAGAGTAGTTTGTACATGTCAAGTGTATAACACCGTTCCATGATGGTTTTCCTGATGGTATTTGTATTTCTGTATACACTTTGGTGATCCTGTCATATCTGGGTTTTATAAACCACGATTATTTTTAAAACTCGCTCTGCCTCTCGACTCTTTTTTTCCCCTCACTCTTTTACTCTAAGTTTTATCACCTCCAACACGTTCTGATCTTTGAGTTTGGCACAGATTGTCCCTTTTAGGTCTTGTGGACTTCCTGACCTTCGCGGGGGACAAGAAGCTTTTGCTGAGTATCGTTGATGCAGTGCTGTGAATATAAATACATGCACGTTAACACACACATGCATAGAGGCCATTCCTCAAGCTATTAATAGTCCTTTGCTGTGGTCGACGCAGTTTCCTCTTCTGCATTGTGCTTTTATTAGTCATGTTTGCTTATGTGGTTTTATGATTGTTAATTTTTGTTTGCAGTGCACTCTAAAGTAGATTATAACCATGTATACCTTTTTAGATATTAGCTGTTAGTCATTCGCCCCTCTTACCTACAAGTAGATTTGTGGCCTGGTGGTGAAAAGTGGCGTTGCGGGTCTCGACAAGATTTAGGTTTGTCGGCTCTGTCCAAAAAAAGCTTGAGGAAGTCGTCCAAAACCACCAGCAGCGATTAGGGATTTGATGCATTTTTCTGTTTTGTTCCCAGAGGGTAAACTGAGTCTGGCGCCGTTATGTTCAGTGTGCCAATAAGGACGAATGAATCATGCTGAAAAGCCTGAAAAATCTTGCTTCTTGGCAGAGAGGAAGCACCCACGAAATCAAAAGGAGAACACAGTTAACTTTGACAAAATGCCATCAAACAAGTCCTCATCATCCAACATAAAAATCCCAATATTTTTCCTTTTTTTTAAAGAAAAACAAAGTGTCAGTTGAGATTGAAAGACTTTTTTGACCTTGCAAACAGCAGTTAACAAAACAATCTTACCACGAGGTCAATTAGTGGCTGTTCTGGGGTTTTCAATCGTATCAGTCTCCCTCAGATCAATACATCTAAATATAATCTGAATCGACTTCTAACCCAAATGGACGAGAAGTCCTTCAAGTGCTCGGGAAAAAAGTGGAATTTTGAAAATCTACAACTGCTCAACAATTGGTAACTCTGTGCTGAGGAGGATCACATGATGGGAACGAAGGCTGCAGAACAGCTGGTAATGGACTTCGTAGAGACACATTTGTCAACATTTTGTCAGCATTTTCATTAAAATGTACAATAAATACAAGAACAACATAAACTTATACAAGTAAACAGCCCTAAATACTTTTCATTATAGATTAATCTGATGATTATTTTCTCCATTAATCAATTATTTGTTTCGTCTATGAAATGTCATTTTTAATCTGTTTCCCAGAATTCAGTGTGACGTCTTCAGTTTATTGGTTTTGTTTTGATCAGCAGTCCAAAACCAACAAATCCTGATGTTTAAACAACTGGAACTTCTGTCTTAAAAAGTAAATTAAACGATCAATAAGTTTAATTTTCTGCAGATCAACTAATAATGTTTTTGTAGATAGTGTCAAAGATGTTGTTTCAACTCCGTTTTATAAGCTTTAGTTTCACATGCAGTCACTTCACTGACTGAATCTTCTGTATCCAACAAACAACCTGCCAGTCAACATCTAAGAAGGTCACAACTAGGTTGTTTATTTTGTGATAACTGATACAGGATAAATGTTATACATTCTATTTTAACACTGATATTTTGCTTTTATTTTCAATGTCAGTATGCAAAAAAAAGACAATACAAAGTAAACATTTAGTATCATGAACATGATACATAATTTGACTGCTTCATCCATATTAAACCAATTAATTTTAAGGACTCCTTGTTGCCCTGGTGATATCTTGTTTAGCTACAACACAAAAAAGGGAAAAAATACAAAAAAACAAAATGCAAACATCAAGAGTTGGCTGACAGCAAACACTGTAAAGAACCACATGATCTTAAGATGTATCAATCAACTCGTGTAGATGCATATATAAAAATACAGGACCCCTGTTGTATATATGCACATACAGTAATAATGCAATTACTAGAGTTGTAGAGCCTGTACTGGGCATACAAACAGACAAAATGAAGAGAGCAGGATACACATACATACACACGTTTACCATTATCTCTCCATATAAACACGCATGAACCAACCAACCAACAAACAAACAGAAGGCTCTCTGGCTTTAGAAGCTAAAAACTACACTTGACTTTAAAAAAAAGAAAGAAAAAGAAACAGACATTCACATTTCTGAAACAAATTTCATGATCTCATAACTTCTCACCTGATCAACCGCCTCAGTCTTATCAACTTTTAGTGCCACCAGAGAAGCTAGAATGATGATGATGATGATGATGATGCTTCGTTTGTGCCGTCGTGTCCAACTCGTCCCATCGATCAGGGCCGAGTTCACTCTCACTGATTACTTCACCGTCTGCGTTGGTCCTTTTTCTCCACATCATCACTCACTGTGCACTCATTCACTGACTCACTGTTCCCTGGTGTAAACAGTCCAGAGTCTGCACTGTTTCTTCATCCATGAGCGGAAGTGAATGAGTGAATGTGTTGTGGAGGAAGGTGGAGAAGTGGGACTGCAGCTGTTCATGTCTGTGTTTAGTGTATGAATGTCCTGTACGTCCATGCATTTACCTGTGTGTGTGCGCTGTATGTCCATCTCTATGCGGGCCTCTACGGTGAGGCTGGGGCTTTGCTACCGCTGTAATGAACTTGGTATCTGTTCACTGCTTGCCCTTTGACCTCAGTCGACAGGCAGGTCGTCTTGCAGGGGATCATGTCCTCTTCCTCCTCGCCCAATAGCCAGTTCTGCACCGAGCGTTCAGCGGAGGCTGCAACGTGATTGGCCAGCCAGCCCTGGTGCCACTTGTCAAAGCGTTCGTGCTGGCTCGCTGCCACTCTGTGCTGCGACTGTGGAAGAAGAGGAACAACTGTCAGAGCTTCGTCCAAACAGGATTTAACGAGCAGAAAAGGCGATGCTCGATTATCCTGACACCACATCGTCACCCAGATTCTCCACGTCACGACACAAGAGTCTTACAACACGCCACAACGGGATACTAATGACCTACCTTCCTGGCCTTGACTAGCGCTCCTCTGCGGTACATGTAATCCTCAGAGTTCATGACAAACACCATCTTGTGTGTGTTGAGTTTAAATCGACAGTCCAGACTCCCGGCGTTCTCCACGCCCAGCTGGCGGTGCCACTCTCTCCTGCAACGCATCGCTTCCACCTGCCGCACCTGCCAGCGACGGAAACGACGCAGGTTCCTACAAGAAGAGACACATTTAATGGACCTTAACGTGCTGATTGGGTTACAGTATTTGTCTGACATAGTTTGAGATCAAATTAATGACTTTGAACAGAAACTTTTTACTTTTCCAGGCTCTTAGTCAAACATTTAACAGGATTTTTCCTGGCTCACAATGAGGCAAAGGTGGGCAACAGAGTCTCTGCATTTTTAAAAAAGAGCACAATAACTTAAAATATTCCCCATCTGCTGACTGTACCTGTGAATGATTCTCAAAACTGTTTTCAATTCAATGATAAAGGGCCTCCAGTTAATATTACAAAGATGCATTGTAACAGACCACTTCCTCCAGTATGCAAATTCCATCTAAAGCAGATGTTTGTTTTCCAGTATTGTTCTTAAAGTGTTTACTGAAATACAGGTAAATCAGAAAACCTGTACACCCTAGTGTACTCATAAACAACACTTTACCCTGAAGGTTATTATATGCGTTTTATACTGAGACTGTGTCAGAGAGATGTTGATTCAATGTTGTGGCCTTTTTTGACTGAAAATAAAATAATGCTGATTGTGTGCAAAGATTGATTAAGTTCCCTGAAATACGACATTATGGTCATATGTAATGCTGCATTTTCAATTAAGTCAGAGCAGACAGTGTGTGTAAATTCATTCTTTCTTCTGGCATTCATGTAGCTCTTTGCAGTCAAGTATTTTGTCTATTGTGGAAAAAATATTCAAAACATTAGCAGTAAGAGGCCCAAGAGTGTTTACAAGCTGATCTGTCTGTATTCTTTACACGAGATAGGTGGCTATAAGATGTGTATATGCACAGTTTGAAGTCTAAACCACAAATTTATAAAATCTGATGTTTAGAAATAATTATATTAAACTGTTATACCTTGGCAGAAATACAGGTTTGAAGAAGTAGCCCTCTTGAGAACACAGGCTGGACTCTGTTCCTACAAACTGCTCCATGTAGCTCGACAGGCACTGTGGGAGAAGACGGTGAAGACATTAATAACTGATCCATTACAATGAATAAATATTTAACTAAATTGCTTTATATATTTCAAAGTGCGTGTAAAAAACAAACATTTAGATTGTTTTTCCACGTGTGTTTACCTGTACATCTAACGGATCATCCGCCTGGGCCTCCTCAGTGTCCAGCAGCTCAATGGTCATTGTCACATGACCCGTGTTTTGGATAAACATCACCTGATGACAGAATGCAAAGAAACTAAGTAAACAAACTCAACACGCTACAGCTGAATGACACCAGAGTCACAACTCAGAGGTTCATATTCATACAACAGAGATTTAACTTGTTAAAATCTCTTAAGAGTGCAACAGAAAGGTGCTAACAGTTTAATGATGATCTAATTCAATTATATGTAAGTACATTTAAAGAGCGTTCATCTTGCTGTGGAACAAGTAATGTCACTTCCATATCAAAATAAATCCCAAGTCATAACATAGAAGGTAAAACTGCAACCAACTACACCCTCAGATACATGATAGTCAGTTTTACTATCATATTAAAAGTACTGAACAGGTGTAAAGAGTATATTTGATTCACCAGGACTTTGTGCTCACCTTGAAGCAGTTCTCCTCAGCCATGACTCTCTCGGCTTTCCACTGGTAGCTGGTCTCCCAGGCTGCTCTGACACACTGCGAGGACAGGTTTCCCCCCGCTGCCCCCCGCTTCCTCTCAGCCAGGTAAAGATCAACCACCTGCAGACACACCTCGTCGCTCACAAGGTGCTGCAGCTGAAGTCAAAGAAAGTGCATATCAGAATATGTCAATGTTAAGTGTTGACAAAGCAGGTTTTATTTCGGCAGGATCCCAGGTATATTTGGTGACCCATTTTAGCATTTATTTATTGTTTTATTTTTTCCGTCTGAGAGAATGATGCCATCCGCGATCAAATAACTAGTGGAAAATCCCCCCCTCGCTCTACCCCTCCCGTACGTCTACTGACAATCACACGGAGAGAGAGAGAGAGAGAGAGAGAGAGAGAGAGAGAGAGAGAGAGAGAGAGAGAGAGAGAGAGAGAGAGAGAGAGATTCTCTGGTATTAAGTTAAACTGGGGACAAGGTGAATATTTTAAAAGCACAGACAAGGTAAAGCAACAGTGAACGCATGTGGTTTCGGTACCACGTTGGTTTCAACACACTGCGACATTACAGGCGGCTCACCTGCTGTTGTTAATATGGAATTGTGGAGGAAAAAGTTGTGTTTTACGGCCGCTGACCAAGAGGTAGTATCTGATGAGCTGAGAGTGAGAGCAGGGCGGACTAGAGCTGTACCTGACTCAGAATTTGTCTTAGTAGAAATTGATTTGGCTGTTCAATACCAAGACTCAACTATTTGTTATTTTCTTTCTGTTTGTTGCTACACTAAATTTCTAACACTAATGTTTTAGCTACCTTACGTTTTAATACCTTTCCTTGTCATCACAGATGAGGAAAACGCGAGTCAATCTGGGTCTTCTCGAGTGATGATTTGAATCATCAACTTTTGGGGGCAGTGCTATTGGTGTAGATGGGTGCATATGTTTGTGTAAAAGGGAAAAGCTTGGTGAGAGTAGTTTGTGAGTAAACACTAAAATAAGGTAGAGAATTAAAATGGTAAAATAAGAAACAGAACTAGAAATAGTGTATTCTTTCAAATAAAATTTGGAAATTCATTCAAAAGTTAAATGCTACTGAGGTGCCCAATACTAACCCTTGTCTAACTCTGAGAATAAATAATTTAATTAATTTAATAATTAACCTACATAATGGGGCAGGCTACTCATCATCACTGTAAAAAAACTTTAGGTCATATCACCCACGCCACGTGTGGGAAACACTGGTTCTACACATCTTCATTGTCTGATACGAGCGCTCAGTGTGACGGTAAACTTTTCTTACCTGCCGAATGATGTTGTGGATGACCTTGTCGATGGTGAAGCCGATGTAGGCGTGGATGGTGAACATCTCTCTCAGTGTGTCTTCATACTGTGTGGAGTCCAGGTTGCCATCCAGCAGGCTGCGCACCATATCCAGGAAGGCTGGGTAGTACTCCTCCAACTCCACCTCACCTGTGGAAACAAAGGGATGTCACAGCAGGTCCTTACAATGTAATTAAGTGATCTGTGAAGAAGTGTTGGGCTGAATTTGGATACACCTCTTCATCTCCAGCATGAATACATACTAGAAGGTCAAATGCAGTTTTTATCCAAAAGCAGCTATTTAAAAAGGCGGTCAGTGGGCACCCAGTTAGCTCAGTGAGTAGAGCTGGTGACCCATGTACCGAGGCTGAGTCGGCCCTTTGCTGCGTGTCATCCTCTCTCTCTACCCCCCTTTCCTGTCTATCATCAGCTGTATCTATCAAATAAAGGCTATAAAAGGCCTAAAAAATAACTTAAAAAAAAAAAAAAAAAGGCGGTGCAGGTATCATTAATTCAAATTGTTGAGATTTGTGCTGCTCTGTCGTAGAGCTGCAACAATTAGTCTGTTAATCAATCAAAAGAAAACCAATCAGCAACTATTTTAATAACTGATTGATCATTTAAATGTGAAAATGGATTGTTTTGTTTTTTTAAATGTAGTGAAGTAAATGGAATTTTACTGACTGTTGGTCGGACTAAAGAAGACATTTAATGACCTGTTCTCAACAATATAGTGATGGAGTTTTTCATTGTTTTAAAAACCACGTGATCAATTGAGAGGATAATCATCAGATTAAATCAATAATGAAATTGATCATTAGTTGCAGCTCTACTGTGCGGTTGTCTTACCTGTATCAGAATAGCCTTTAATTGGCTGTTTATGACAGCTGGTTTATCCTGAGCTCAATGGGTTACAACAAACAAATGATCCAAAATTAATCAGCCATTTTAAAATCTATTTTTTAAAATGCCTTGAATGGCCTTGAAGCAAATCACCTCAGGACACCATACTGCTACACCTCATCAAATTCCAGCTCAACCAAGACAATATAACACAATACTACACTAAGCTAACAACCAGTCAAGTCCAATAAAAACCCATTGAACAATATCTGTTATCATTTTGTTTCTTTTGTCAAACTTTCCAATCTTCAACACCATGTTGTTTTCAAATGCTGGCAAAGAAAAGAACATCAGTCCTTCAACACATCTGGAATACTTTCATGTAGTAGGACTGACTGACATCAGAAACTGTTTGATTTAGGTTAACTTTATGATTCATGCTCATTAATTAAAACTAATTAACTAATTTCCCTGATGAGATCATATGTATACTGATATTAAAGCTCTTGGTCACAACAGGAAAAAAACAACCTCCTACACTGAGATGATTTGTCCATGTTGAGTCAGATATCACAGCTTGTTGCACCAACTCAAATTAAATTAAACCAATCTAGGATCTACAGAACCAACCAGTAGCTGAACTTACTGGGCTGTTTGAGGCGGAGCTCCATAGCGAGGTCACATGCTTTTTCTCTCCTTCCCTCTGCCATCAGCAGCCTCTCCCTGCTCTGCTCAGCTCGGTGCTCCAGCAGCTGACGTTCTGCCTGTCGGTAAACCCGCAGCAGTCGCGAACATAAGGTCTGGTGCAGCCGCAGGAAGAAATACCAGTTGTTGTTGACGAAGAAAAGGTTGTAGACGCCGTCCAGGTCCTTCTGGTGCTCTGCTTCAGGGTCGCGCAGGTCCACCTTCTCCCCGGGTGCACCTGAACCCGTCTCCATAGGTGTAGATCCAGGGGTGGATGAGGCAGTCCCTGCAGGCTGGCTCATGCTACTGGAGGTGGTGGAGGCCTCCGTGTCTGCAGGTTGGGATGGGCTGCAGCGCCTCCGCCTGGACTCCCCGTTGAGCTGCTGCTGCTGGGGTTGGGACTGGGCTTGGGACTGTGATTGGGCAGGTTGGGGTTGAGACTGACTACTTGGGGTTGCTGCTGCTCCTGATGCATTATTTGAATTACCAATTCCTCCTCCTGCCATCACCGCTGCTCCACTGCCGCTGCCGCCTCCTCCTCCTCTCTCTGCCCCCTCCTCAGGCTCAACCTCCTCATCTGTCCATTCTTCAGTATCACTGAGCTCACCGCGGCGGGAGAAGAACAGGTCGGGGACAAAGTGCTGGATGATGCGCTTGATGTGGTCCTTGTCGTCTTTGTGGATGGTTGGCTGGCGTTTGACATGGTAGATGATGAGCGAGGCGGCGTCCTCCAGGATCTGTTTGTCCTCATACGTAAACACCATGTGAGGCTCACTGGATGCACCAGAGCCATTACGGCTCTGCTGGCCAACTCCACCCTCTTCTGTGCTCTGCTCCTGACGCTGAGAGAAAAAAAAGAGATTAATGAGGGAAACTTAAAATAAACGTAAAATACAAAACCACGAGTTTTGATAGGTTTCACTGATTTAAATAAATTATTCTTCCTACATTCATATTTAACAGAAAAATATGATAAATTCTTTTGCAGCAATGAAGTTGTCTGTTAAAAGCAGCACTGCACAAAAGGAAATAAAACACTATCAACTCAAGGTAATTTACTGTGTTGCATTTGATCCTTATCAGCAGATGAGTATAACCACAAACTGTAGATATTCAAACGTTCTATGATTTTGATTAATTTGAATCTCGAGCTGAGATCGTTATCTCCACTGCTGTTTGCAAGATCAAGAATGATCTGCTAAACGTTGAAGTAAACATGGATGGGTAGCCTGAGAGATACACATGGAAAGTTTATACATCTACAGCAACCTCAATGTGTTGATGCAGACTATGAAATAAAGGCCCTGGAGTTCAGATTGTTTCATCAACTCCTGTTTCTAATGTCAAGGATTAACTGTGATGACTAATGTGTAACATCTCACACAATCATCACACATCAATGACTACCAGACTGAGTGGATTTCTATGAAACTTCTTTTTCATTTCTTTTGTCTGGTCAGCTCTGGGTTTGAATGCATCTTTTGAAAATGTGAAGGGGGTCATGTTCCAAGTTAAAAAAGGATGTTAAGTGACTCATTAACACTTTAAAATATAAAGCTCCAGTATGTATCTACAACCTAGTCCAAAAATTACACAGGAATGTAATTAGACACTCAACACCTCATCATCTTTTCATATTACAAAAGCTTTAATGTCAAAGGACGGCAGGAAGTTTTTACCTCATCATAGACACTCTCGATCTCATTGAGAAGACTCTTCGACCGCAGGGCCTTCATGTCATTCTGTTTGAAGTTGACTCCTTGGTGGTCGAGGGACTTCAGGTAAGCCTTCTCATACTGCTCCCTCCATATCTTATTGAAACCCTGCTGGGCCTCTCTCCACTCCTCCTCCTTGGCTTTCAACCTGCAGAGGAAGACACACCTTAAATGTAGATACTTAACAAAACAAACCACATATATAACTATGTTACATAACATGTCTGTCAGTGAGTTTTCTTGGTGATTTGATTGTATGGCAATGTAAAGATCTGTAGGAAGGAACGTTTTCAGAATTCATCCTTTATGTGGAAGTCTGCCACCTGTAAAACACACATTTGCAACAAGTTCACTGAACACACAAACTATTTTTAAAATCACCTTCCTGTTATGGTTCACATTTGTTGGCAGGACATACAAAGCTCACTCCCTGTTGATATAAAGATCTTACTCTTCTTTCAATGTTGACAAATGCTGATATACAAGAAAATATCTAACTGACTGATAATCGTAATACACACACGCAACAAGATCATAAACACCAGAATTCAGCCACTGAATTTCTTCCATTAAACATTTTGCCAGTGACGACATTTAAAATAAAATGACCGTCCTGACCTCTTGAGCACCACAGGCACAGCAGTAGCGGGACTCCTCTTCAGTCCCTCAATGATCTCAGGGGCTTTGTCACCATAGATACGATACACAGCACGGCGCTGGATGACCTCAGAGGTGCCGCCCAGGCAGTCGTCTAATCTGAATCGGTCCTGGTCCTCAGGTGAAAGACGGGATAGCTTCTTCTGGACGCTCTCCAGCACCCTGATAGTGGCCAGATTTGTCTCCAGAACCACATCCAACTGTAAGTGGAGAGTTACAGACATACAGCTTTTAGACGGCAGCCATCAACTACAGTGTAGCCAAGGACTTGAAGCTTATTGACGCAGGGACACAAAGATAAAAACATGTATTAAGTAAGTTGTGGTGTTTATACAAACCTCCCGGCTCTGCAAGAATTGTAAGTAGAGTTCTTGTTATGATGTACATACCTCAAATCTTTCATCCTCACAGCGATGCAGCTGTTCCTCATAAGGAGTCTTCTTCGAGCTGACGAAGGTTGAATCCTCTGACCAAGAGGGGAATGACACCCAGGTGTCATTCAACACCTACACACATTCAGGCAGAAAAGTTCCCATTAAATTATGAATGGTAAAACCCTTTTATAGGAATATATTTTATAATTACATAGTATTAACTTACTATCTTTTACTACTATTTATGCTAGAAAACGCAGTAATATGTCAGCAGAGGCAGGGAAGAAGAAGACTGTCAGCAAATAAACACTTCTCAAACTTTTAAGAACAATCTGCTTTGCAGATGTTTTATGAGTAAATGAATTAATTCAACAGATCTCAAGGATAAACACAATTGTGAGTAACACTGAGTGTAAACAGAAACTTTGCTTACAAGAAAACTTCACAGGGCGTCTTTAAGTGATGCACTGACCTCGTGACAACTCATTAGGAAAATGTAAGTAGGTGTACCTCCTTGCATAGGGCAGTGCGTCCACTGCATTTAGGCTGCTGATAGGTCTTGGGCAGTGCTCTATAGCTGGACCCCAGGCGCTTGCAGGAGGCATAATCCACCTCCCTGCCCCCTCCCCCCTCCATGTAGCGATCCGACAGCCCTGACACAGCATGAGAGAGCTCTTTGTCCCCCAGAAATGACTTGAACTGTGTGTACAGTTCAGGAAACTTCCTGCAAGGAGATGGATGAAATAAGGAATGACAGATAAATCAGAAGGAGAACAGCTGACCAAAACACAAGTGCTATCCACCAGTATAATCCTATGAGAATGTAATGTGAATACAAATCTGAATTATGTTGCATATGTAATGGTCATATCAGTAACAGTTGCAAATGCCTTTAAAAAGTCCTGAAAGCCTTTAATAAATGTCAACATTTTAACAGTTATTGCCCTTTCCTGCAGTTATACCAGAGTGCCTCTTCTACAAGACCAGACATTACAGTCTACACGTTCTGTCAGCTCCCTGCAGCCACTGTATCCATTCATCTGTGCACCCAAGTCTCTGATTTCATCCAGCCAGTTCACACATTTATTCAGATCAATTATGTTTCCATCCACTCACCCCAGGAAAGGAGTGACTAGCTGTAGCAGCTCTGCTCCCGAGACTACTTCCTGGTTAAACAAGGCGATACAGCGCAGGAAGTTCTCATACACTTCCTGGCTTTTAAACAGGCGACGAACCTGAATGATGTGAAGGTTGACAGTGAAATCAGACCAATTACATTATTCAAAAAGACATTAAAAAAACAAACCATATAATAGCAGTAGAGAAAAGAGGGAAAATGAAAGGAAGTATAGTGGCAGTGGGTCAAATAAACAGTATGAACCCAGGAAGAAGGAAATCCAACATGGAAAAAGATGCCTCACCTTATCAAAGAAGGAGAATTCTCTTAAGACTCCATGTTTGCCAACTGAAGCAAAGGACTGATCTTTGGTACAGGAATACTTCATTTTTTTCTTTAAAAAAAAGAAAGAAAGAAATGAATGCTGAATGATCTTTATAGTCAATAATCATTAAAGTCACTGTAGTGGGAGCACTGCATTGTTGCTTCAGGAACGAAACAAAGAGTTGTTTGAGATCAAGGACATGTATACATACATTGGCGCGTTGCCTGAGGCGGTTATTCTAAATTGAGAATTTACCTTGAGCAGTGGGGAAATGTGCTGCAGTAGGATGGGCCTGGGCCTCTTTTTGTTCTGTTTGGTTATCGTGTCCTCGTCCTCCGGTCTTTTCAGCGTCTCTTTCCCCCCTGTCAGTGAGCTCCCTGTGAACTACAGGAGAGGAAGCACACGGGAAAAGTGAGTGACTTTCAATTTCTCAAAGCCCAAGCTAAAATAGCTTGATTTCTGCAACTAAATACTACTTTCATAGACAACTTCAAAAACCCACATATATACACATTTGAGAAGCAAAAAACTGTGAATTTCTGCTTGAAAAATTAATAAAATTGATGATTTGAATATCAAAATAACTGCCAAATAACATGCTGTCTATTAACTAATTGATTATCTAATACAACTATTGAACTTTACTGTATTCAAACAATGTTGAGAAAAAAAAACACTGACTATGAGGAATATAGAAGAATGACATTTCTGCGCAGAAGCATGGAAATAAATTATATAGTCGTCTAGGTTGTGAGGAAGGTTTTTGGGTTTTTTTTAATCGTGAAACACTAAAAAGAAGAAATCACAACAGAGAATGTTTTTATGTGCCGAGACAGGGCATTGATTGTTTGACCTTGTTGATTTTTAATGCACCTTAAAATTACAACGTTATTGATCTCTGTCTGCTGCTTTACTGACCAGTGATCGCTTGGCATCAGGTAAGAATTGTCCAAACTCAGCCAGCAGGTCCTCTTGCCCCTTGAAAAGACTGGCAACTTTAGAAAACACCTCGTCTTCTGTCATCCCACTGCTACCTCGGCTGCCTCGACTCTCTTTCACCTCCAGCTGCTCCTTCTGAGGGGTGGTAGGGAGGTAAATGTTGATCAGACGTGAGGAATCAAACTTAATTTTAAAAAAGCAGAGCAAAGTTGAAATTATTTGGCCTGGCTACACATGGTCAATAATCTTGGTGCAGGAGACACAAACACCACCACTGTCCTCAAGGAACAGACTGCTGTGGAAATTTGATGCTGCACACTGAACACTTCAACTATGAGCTTTATTTATTAGTTTAATTTAAAATACCATAAAGCCATTAGAGAGGACTCAGATTCTCAGAATACCAGCACTAAGAGAGTTCTGCTGTAAAAGTCCTACCAAAATCAAAATCTTTAAGGTGGAAAATTAGGATTGTAAACTAAACTACATCACAATAACTTAAACCTAAATTGTCTATATAAATATATATATATATATACAACTAAAAGGCTACTTCAATTACCACATTTTATTCGTACCTGATACGTGTGAAGAATCTCTAGGAAGGCTCGGTAGATCTCTGGGTGGTCCAGAAAACGGTTTTTGATCTTATTTACGTAGCTAATGGCACTGTCAAACTCTACAGGGCTTGTCTCTGAGGCAGGCGGGGATACAGACGACGTGGTTGCCTGATTCTGGCTCTCTCTGTTTGTCAAAGGAAGAGAAAGCCTGCTGGGAGGCTCTGGAGGTCCTGCTGGGGTTGAGGAAGATGGGGGCTCTGATGAAGCCGCCTTGACCTCAGTAGTCTGGGCCGGTCCAGCTTCAGTTTGGGCGGCAGAGGCACTACCTGAGGTCGCGGTCACTGCAGAGGTGGTGAGACTCTTCCCCTGTTGGCCTGGGGATACCTGGACAAATGAAAGAGGTTGAGCTGGGTGATTAGAGGTGCATTCATTGAAGTCGTTTGCGTCAAATAAAGTTTAGTGAAAAATGCCAGTAAATACAAGTTCAGATGGTGGTTAAAGTCTGGAGGAAAACAATGCTGATGCTAGATAATGTAAACACTTGTCTCAGTAGCTGTGTCTGACTCTCTGCGTCCCACTCACTCATTCAATACTCACTATATAATAGACTCTATAGTGAGCAGTGTGATTTCTTACACTTACAGGACTCAAACATCTGTAATTTTTGTATCTCTATAATACCACTAAGTCAAATTCTCTGAGGTGGAACCGGATGGAAAAAGAGAAACGCTACAACCCTGCGTAACCAAAAAACCTGATTAATGGTCTTTTCACATCAATAAAATGTGGCTCGTTGAATTGTAGGATTGTTGGCAGAAAGTATAAACTTTTATGGACACTACTTTTTTATTCCATTATGGCATTTTTTTGGATACAACCAGTGTTTCTTTTAAATTTCCAATTAAGAAGCTTAAAAGCTTGAAACATTGTTTTATATTATGTCTACCTTACTTAAGTAGTATCACATATTGTATTCTTGTAATAAATGCTTATAATGTTTACATCCAAGATTATATTTTTAAAAGACTGCTCTATTATGTCGAATGGAAAATCAATACAAGAGATACAAAAACACACGTCCAACCATATTCAGTGACAAATTCTAAAATCAACACGGTTTTATTGCAAATGCAAAGTAACAATCTGTATGTGACACACACCACCCTGGTCCTCAAGGTACACTGGTCCGCCTCAGAGTGACTTTTTAATGTCACATTTCATAAACTTAGCTAAAACTAATGCAGTCTAATACAACAGTCCTGTAATAAATCTTACTTAAGTTACAGCTATCAGTTTTTGATTAAACAGGTGTTGATTCAACTTAATAGTCATTAGTTTTAGCCCTGGCGTTCCTAATAAAATGACAACTGAATGTATTTGCACAATCTAGCATGGCATATATGGGATCTTAAAACAGAATTTAAAAGTTGAAATGTTTCTCCAAATAACTCTCCAGTGGTTAAAAAGAAAAATAAATAATCACCTTGTGTCTTTATTATTGTGAATCTTATTAAAATCTAATTAACTGACAAATCTGTTCTGTATTTTTTTTAGGCAGAGCAGCCAACAAGAACCAGTTTCCTCTTAATTAAAATTTTCTGTGGGCATAAACATACAGTACATTTCAGCACACAGCGAGATTGTTACGATGCATCTACTGAAAGTTTAATAGGTTTGAAGATAAATAAAGCACAGATTTTTCAACTTCTGCTGTGAGGAGAGTGTCTCACCTGTGTGGAGAACGGCGATTGGAGGAAAGCCACCCCATTCTTGGGGACCTCTATCCGATACCCCGGTGGTAGGAAGGCATTGAAGCCCAAGACTAGGTCTGGGTGTCCATGGAAGAGTTGAGACACGCGGTTTATCACCCCCGGTGTGTCGATGCTATTCAAGACAACAGGCAGACACAAACACATTAGTGGTGTGGATGACAGCTTCCTCTCTCATATGCTGCATGAAGACAACCAAGTCCTTTTCAAAAAAGAGAACATAAACTGCTGGGTGATTCGAGCAGGATCGGCAATTTCTTACTTATTGAAAATGCTTTAAAATGTGTGGTTGATCCCTGGGTGTTTATGTTTTGCAACGTAATCAAAGTCCACACACAAGCTCCACCATTCAGAGTTGGCATTAAGAATCAACTCATTAAAAATGTATTGCTAAACTTCTTGCATAAATACCTCTGTGACTTGAACTCTTTCATGATGTCGAGAAACTTGTTGTATATGCCAGGATCGTTTGCAAAACGAATTTTGACTTGGTCCAAATATGACAAAGCATCTTCAACCTAAACACAGAGGAAGAAAAGAACAAAAATCCTGAATACAGCATTGAGTACAATCAGTCTCACATGGACCTGTGGAGAAGTAAATGGCAAACATCCTGTCGTGTTGTTGATGAAGAAGGATGTTACAGAGAAAAGCTGTTTAAACATGTTTAATACGCCATAGTCTATACATCATTGCAACACTGGGTCGCATTAATAATTGCACTACTATAAAAATTAAAATGGTGCCACCAACAAACCAGAAAATATGTGTATTGCATTATTTCTTTAACACTGTGTGTGGATATTTTTGGACGTGCAGTCCCATAAATAGTCAATGTTTGCTTCCCTCATTGTCAAATGAAGTGCTGTATCAACAAATGCACTAGTTAGCGGTACAAGCTGTACAAGTAACCACAATAAATAAATAAATAAATAAATAAATGGGCGAATACAAGAAACAGCAAACAGCTTTTGTTCCCGGGATCCTCGCTTGGTCTTTATTCAACCTAACACCCAAGGCTAGGTTAGGTTACGATAAAATATGTGTCCACACAAAGCAATTGTCACAAACACAATCCTACAGAGGGGCTTGCTCTAGCTAGCGTTAGCCAACTGACGATAATAACTCCACAAAACACTTAACAACACCCACATACAACATTTATACAACACGTTTTAGTCACTCTGGCACAACGGTGTCGTGTTGGCAGAAAAAACCAACAACATGATAATACTCAAAACACTGCGATAACAAAAGAAAACGTGTAATGAAGCTGCTAATCAACTGAAATAGCCGTTGTTGGCTAGCCTGCTGGCTGGCTGACGTCCTCCACTTTGTTCAGGGTGGCTGATAGAAAAAAAAAAAAAAAACCCGAACAAGAGGAACTTCCCACAACCGAGGTTTGAGTTAACATTTGCTCACAGAAGAGGGGCTGTTATTTTTGACATCGTAAAATAAGAAAACTACCACTCAACTGTCACTCACACGTTCATTAATGAAACACAGCGTCCACGTCTCTATAACCCCCAACCGTCAACGTTCGGCTGTTTTAGCGGTTGAATTACTTTTAATAGGCCAGCGAGCTAACTAACGTTAGCACAGCCGATGCTTTCACTACTCTCGACGTCCGGGGGGGAGAGAGAGAGAGAGGGAGACAGAGAGAGAGAGACACAGAGAGAGAGAGAGAGAAAGAGCCTCAAAATCCAACGCAATGATCCGACGAACAAAATGGTTCTGACTCTGAGGGACTTTTCCCCTTGTCGTTGTTGTCTCCTTACCTTCAGCTTCTGGAAGTGCTGCTGCTGCACTTGCTTTTGTGTTATAACGTAAGGCTTGTCTTGGATTTGGTTTATTTGCTTCGCCGTGCTGTGCGCCTGAATCTTCGCCATTATCCCGGCGACAGGAGAGCTTGAGAGCCGCTACCACAACTTGAGAGGGAAGCTTTCGGTGTTACCTCCAGTTGTTGGCTAGCCGACAAACCTTCCTCTCGGTCGGGGAGCCAGCCTGCCAGCGAGCAAACCCTACTTTGCCTAGCTGGACAGTCCTCTCTCTCTCTCGGCACAGCGCTAAAAAAAGGGACGGGAGAGAAATCCACAGCAGGAGTAGAGGGTGATGACAGACAAGCTGCTACTCGCTGCGACTTTGATTAAAACATCACCATCGATTTAAACAAGCTCAGGCAAGAAGCGTCGGGAAATAAGCTAAGGGACAATGGTTGCCGTTTATCGTATTTAAAATAACTATCGCCTGTCTCTTTAAATTCGGCGGCAGCGGTCTGTCTTGGCGTCCGGAAGCCAGAGTAGGAGTGAAAAATTGAAGAAAAAAAAATTGAACTGCGCAGCCGCAACAATGGGAGGAGCGGAGTTCACAAGAATCAGATTGCTCCACTCCCCCTTCACTGCTTCACTGCTACAAAGGAACAATGTTACTCCATGCACAACGATAGCTACATAGTTCACACCGTACCCACAACTACAAGATCAACGGTAGACTGGGGCACCGGACTGTGGGGGGGCAGATCAATACTGGAGGCTATTGATAGGTATCTGCCGCTCATTCAGCGGGCACATGAGCGAAACGCAGCACCCATTCAGCTTGTTCAATACGAGAGAGAGAGAGAGAGAGAGAGAGAGGCGGTTTTTCCGACAACTTTATTGTATTTCTGAGTGCATTTCAAGGACGACAGAAGCAAATAATTTGATTTAAAATGATTTATTAGTGACTGACTTTCACATGGTAAAACATCAACAGGAGTAATGAGAATAAAAACAGAAGTGTGATTTAGTTATAGCTATATGTGCATTTTATAAGTACTGTAACATGGCCAGTTTGCCACTGAAAGGTGCTGTGATTGATCTCCTTTATATATTTATTGAACTACGAGGCTTTGGCAGCAAGTCTCCACCTCTGTAGCCACTGTTGATAAGTCAGTCCTCCTTTACTGACCTCAGGTAGGACATGTTGGGCCGGCTTCTCCCACCTAGATACAAGAAAACACACACACACACACACACACACACACACACACACACACACACACACACACACACACACACACACACACACACACACACACACACACACACACACACAAAGTTAACCAGCAATCCAGACCCTTCACTTCAGACTGAGGGTGTAAGTCCAAAATAATTAAAATGCTACAGCTGAGATTGAACCACGAAGGAAAACACATAAGGTCTCTTTTCATAGTTTTATAGCCGTAACTTCTGTCATTTATGATAACATCTTACTCAGCATTGGGCTAGGTAAAATGTTTGAGTATTTTGATGTCAAAATATCTCATCACAAAATAATCACATAAAATACATTGACTTCCAATGCAAATAAATAATGCTCAATCATTTAACAGCAGAATGTAGTTCAAATTCAGTAAAACACATTTATCTAAACCACTTATTTGGAAAGCAAACACATCATATGCAGACATTAAATGAAAGTACTATTTTCCAAGTTGAACCAGGAAGTAGTTCTTGGAAAAATAATAGATTTGATGTTTTAGTGATAACTTGTCACAATCACTTTCATTTTCGCTTGCATGTGATTTTGTTAAAGTAAGACAGCAGACGTGTCAGAAAAACCTGCATGACAACTTAAACTGCATGCACCAATGCACTCCACTGTAAAGACGTGTCTAGAGGGGTCGTCTGCAGATCTCAGCAATGTAGCTGTCTGGTAAAATGTGAACCGATAGGAATGTGGTGAATCTGTAAAATACCTGCAGACCCAGATTGAAAAGAAGAGTTCTCCTTTCATAGACGTCTGAAAGGAAACTAGAGACATACAATAAAATGCTACATGCACTTTGGAAATGTTCCTCACCAGTAAGAGATGGCAGTTTTGACTTGGACCCCATAAGAAAGGCCTTGGGCACAGCGTTGCGTGAGGCCTCTGACTCTTGGTACCAGAGTCTTCAGAAGCTTCTGATCCTCCTCCATGACTCTGGACAGCAGAGCTAAGAGGCATAGTGTAGACAGACAAACAGTAGTTTTGTTGTTGCTGAAATTGCTCAAAATTCTTCACACTTCTTTTTGCCCAGGGAACATAAATTCTTCATCATATACAGCATGTGAACAAACAGCCAAATGCAAAACAGAAGTGTATTTCAAATGTCAGTTGTTGTTTTTTTACCTTTTTGATCAGATGCATGCAGCTGTTCTGCTTCCTTCTGTATTTTCTGCAGAGTAGCAGAGTGAAGTTGCAGTAACTGACGGAGAAAACGCAGCTCAAGCTGCTGGGAGCGTGTGTGGGAACACAACTCCTCTGGAGCCTGAAGTGTAAGAAGAAGGAGTAAAAAATGTTTGTGTCACAGTCAGAGAAAAAGGCAAATGAGAAGAAATTCCATAAATAAAGTTCATATTTTAACAAAGCAAAAACTAGCTGTGAGTGTTTGTAGGACTAGCAGATATGCCTAAAAGGGCTGTTGGTGTTTTACCTCTGTGCAGTGAAACTGATTTTCATGGATATTATTTTTATCAGCTCTGGTGATGAGAGGACTGGGGTCTATCTATGTTGGTTACAGTCAGCTGTTTAATCCAAACCACTCTGGGCATGTGGAGTTTAAGCAGCAGTGGGAACTCTATGAGCTGCTGGCACAACTTTTATAGGAATGCCACGAGTGTCCACAGGCTAACTTCACATGCAAAAGTACTTATCAAAATGTAATTACATTTGTATAGAGTACAGTTACCATGCTAGATCCTATAAAGACTTTAAAGTTCTTTAAGGATTCCAAAAGATGTGAAAACAAACACACAGTACAACATTCACACTATCAAGACGAGTGGTGTGATATCACAATTAAGGAATGGACACACTTTGTGTACAACTACTATCAAACTACTATTTCTTTTGTTTGTTTTTTAGTATAACTGCTATTCGATCTTAAATTCTATTTGAAGTTGGTCTGCTGCTTTGATAATACCATTTTATGGTTTTTTTTTGTAAAGTAATTGAACAGAATGTCTAAAATGCCCATTACTGCTCTTTTATTTGATTAGATTAATCAGATTTTTTACCATAACAAAAAGAATGATAATTTTCTCTGGTTTAACAATTATAGGATTATAACTAATAGTTACTGAATTGCTTTTGAACTGAATTATCAACCACTGAATTATGACTCAAACAGACTTAACCCAAGGACTGACAAGCATATAGATCAAAGAGGAGATCTCACTTCTGTTACAACAGATTGATGCTTTATATACAGACTCACCCTGTACAGTGGGAATGCCAGGCTCTGACACAAGCTGCTGAAGGTCGGGGACTGCAAGCGATGGATGGACAACCACGATGCCGGGACTCTTTGCAATCTGAAACAACAGAAAAAATGTCACATCTCTAATTTTGTGAAGCAAGTGTCACCACTTGATCAACAGTGCGATTAAAAATGTCTCTTCTTGTAATACACTTTCAATGGAGCCACAGGTTAACCACTGATAAAGTAGGATCATTTCTTTTCTCATCTCCTTCCCTCTGAATTTGTAATTGATCATGCAATGCAACAAAACTCAACACATCATAGAGAAAAGGTTGGCAGCATGTGTCATTCAACCCTTTTTGATTAATTTCCAAATACATATTTTACCAAAACAGAACTTCATTGGTTACATACTAATCTGACTGAGGTTTAGCCCTTCATGTATCAAGCAACTTGTTCTTACCCTTCAACAGTCCTACGGTCCAGAGCAAGAAGCGAAACCATCCCTAACTGTCTGGCCTCTTTGGAAATAAAGTTCCTTAGACTGGTGGCTGCAGTGGTGATATCTTCAAACTGTGGCACCAGTTTGTCCTGGACGAAGTCCTGTAACTGAAACAAGACAGAGGAATAGAAATCTTCAAGAGATGTTCAAAACTTTTTTGTTTTCTTGTGGAAAACGTTTATTAGTTTAAAAAGACCAAAACAGTTATTTTACTACAGAATGAAGCAAATCTTATAATCTCTCTACTTCAGTGTCATAGATGGAGAACATCCACACCTCTGTGTGCAGACGGATCAGCTCCGTCTTAGCTGTGGAGTTCCCCTTAATCAGACCTCTGATATGCTCCTGTCTGAGAACCTGGAGAGATACAACAACAGAACCTATTTAAATGATACGCTGGAGAAATAATGACACCTATTACAAATTCATAAAGGTTTGGCAAATCAAGATGTTTATCTGCAGACAGTTAACAGCACACATATCACACCAATCCTCTAGACAGACATTTGAATAATTACAGATATATTTTTAAGAGTGACAATAGCACATGTTATGGTCAAATCACTCTCACCACTAGTTGTCTGAAGTCAAGGATGCTCTGCCACTGGCTGCGGAGGTTCCTAAGTGCCTCCTGACGACTTCTGGCATGCTGGTCAAGTTGGATACAACGATCTCTGATGTGATCCCTGGCTGCAGCCTGCATCACACACTGGAGTTCCACCTCTAGAGCTGTCCTGACAGCGACAAAGACAAAAAGTTTTGCACTTGAGATCAAATCAGTTCTTTGTGTTTGCAACAAATGTATTGCAAATGCACAAAATAGCAAAACAAAGACAGAAGAAAAGGAAAGTATTTTCAGTCTCCAAAACTAAAACAATGATCTCCTACTACAAAGGGGATAGTACACTTGTGGGAACCTCATCAATTAACTCCACATTAGTGAGTCAGCTTACAGTGCCAAGGTATCATTGTGGAGATCCTCTGCAATACCAGACACCTCCAGCTCAGCCTCCTTCTTGCGGGCCTGCAGCTGGTTTCGGAGCTGCTGGACTCTGGAGCGGGTCTGGGCCAGTTCCACCAAACTCTGCTCCACCTCTTCCCAAGCAGCCTGGAACAACAAACATGTGCAATGAACACGTTTTCTTCTATCATGAACTTCCTAAATATTATATGATAGTGTACACGTGTTTAGCACCTCTAGGAGGGTCTTAACTGATGGCAACTCATTATCCTCTTCTGCTGACATATCCAGTAGGTGATTGCTTTCATAGCGGAACCTGCAATTAAAATGCAAGATAAATAATCTAACACTAAAAAGTTGCTGTTGTTATAGTCTTGAAGGAAGAGAGAACATTATAATAATGTTGAAGTTTACCGTAGAGCTGTCACATCCCGTGTCACATCCAGGGAGGTGAGTTTGTCCTCTAGTTCCTTCTGCTCTCTTGAGGCTAAATACTCCAATGCTGATAAGACGTGGTTTGGAGGATAACAACCCAACAGGTTCTGATGCCATGACAAGCAACCAGATGTTAATTCAAAGCAAAAAGTAATATATATAAACAAGTTCCAAAATATTTATTGAGATTTGATCAACAAACACCTACCTCCACAGCACTGAGCCAGTACTGAAACACAGCAGTCCTTTGTTCACGAGTCATACTGACAGGAAACAAATAGAGAGGGATTAAAGATTCAAGAAAGAAGAAGAGTTTTTTTAATAGTTGTTTTCTCAAATACTGTATCCACTATAGTCCTTACTGTTTGGCTGCAGAGTGTCCCGTTTTCAGTTCACTCTCCTGTAAAGACTGATAGAAGTGGAGCCTGTCGTCACACAGCTCTCTCACTTCGCGCTAACAGGAAAAATAAAAGAAATGTTATGATTACCTTCAGTCAGCAGCTGATGTATTACAGACAGCTTGGTCTACATTACTGAGATGTGTGTAAATAATTGCTGATCAACTGGTATATTTTCTTTTCTTTTTTTAAACAGGTGGCAAAGGCGCATCAAAGTGTGTCTACCAGCTGTAGTACTATGAAATTACTCTCAAGATGGCGTAGCATACGTAACATAATCCACTGTCGTTTCCCACTTAAAATGTAACTGTGTCTCCAGAATCACTCCTTCCCTCACTAATTCATTATTACTCCCTATATAATGCTGTATATAGTCAGTTGTTTACTCTATAGTGAGCTGTAAATTGAGATTTCGGCAATGACTGACAAATGTAGTCACATAACTTCAGAGCACTGGATTAAAGGATTGTAAGCAGAACAAGGTCTACATGCCGTGGACAGTCCTTTGTTCATTCCATTGAGGGAATATTTGAGGGTTATACATATCGCATGAATTTCACACTCAGAAAATTGACACTGACGATGGAGGGTAAATATATTTCACTATATAGTTAATAGGGAGTGATTCTGGACACAACTACTGTAGCATTTTTGTCAGTTGGCCTATTAACTCTCTATTATTATTAAATAAAAGCAGCAATACACTGACACAGCATATGCCAGATGAAGTACCCTCTAAACACCAGACTGGGGCTGCTCTTACCAGGACCTGTGCCTCTGCTGCAGCTTTGGAGTTGAGGTTGTCACCATCACTGCCACTGGAAGGTTTATTATCAAACAGCACTTCAATCTCAGCTTTCCTGCAATACACAATACAATTCAGTACTTTATTAGTACAAGTGAATAAATACCCCAGTTTTATTTGTTTTTATTTGACTTATACTTTCAATGTTCTGCCTTACCTGGCCATTTGTTCTAGCGCCTGGCAGTGCTCAGAGATCTTTTGTGTGTCATCAGCGAGCACCTGGCGGCCCAAGATGCAGCGCTGCCTGAAAGCCTGTAGAAGCAGCTCTCTGCGCTGGCTGTCCTCCACTTGGGCCCAGGTACGGCTGATGGACTGCTCTGTTAGTAAAATAGAGAAATATTAAAACATATTGCTGAACTATGGAAGCAAAGCAAACGACAGCAATGAGCTGGCTTTCTGCCTTCTGACCACAGCAACTACTAAACAAGAATGTGGTCTGATCACATACCCAGCCCCTTACGGCATGTGATGGACTAACCTTGAGTAGCCAACTGTTCGTCTGTTCCACTGATCTGAGAGTCCAGGTGACTGATCTCGGCTCTCAGTTGCTCGATCTTCCTCTGAAGTTCTCTCTGCTTAGCAGCCTCACTCTGGCCATCAGCCTGCTTCAACTGAGCATGCAAAAAAACCAGCAGATAAAAATTATCAGTGGTTTTCTAACTGAAATTAAAAACGTCAAATTGTTGTTATTAGTGTGATCACTCAAGATTAAATTAAATAGAAATGAAGCACGAGGAAGGACAACAAGCCTACCTCTTTGTCTTGAAGAACTTTGTACCTTGAAGATCATAATGTTAAGGAAATAAATGGATAAAACATAGTGATCATGGTAGCTGAGAAACCTCAATGTACAATGAATGATACCAAGTAGAGTAAGAGGGCATATTTGAAATTATTGTGGGGACAACATAGCAAGGGATCGAGCAGGGGACAACCAGGGATCACCAGGGCTCCTTAAGGCTCCCCAAGAAGGTATACACTGTATGTATGACATCCCTGGCATGCAATGTGAGACTGTACATTGACAGAATATAAAACATACAAACAGCAGTAAGTCTTGAGCTCGTCTAGAAGACTAAAATGGTCACATAAAGTTGCTAAGACAATGGTGGCTTTAAAATCCTCAATGAGGGTCAAAAAGGATACCACTGGAGATTGCCCCGCATGATCCTCACATTCCTGGAAAAACACAGAAAAGGTCAAGAAGCTGTAATCCATTATTTGCTCATCTGCCCAGTCAAAGAGTGCACAGAGAGACTACAGTTTATCTTACAGACCAAGCCATTTTATCAGATGCTATGATGTTCTTTATTTGACCAGACAAACAGGGACAGAGTGAGTTCTGGGATCACATGAAAGAAGACCTCAGCAGTACTACAAATCACAGATAAGTTACATATAAGGAAGGCAGTGTAAAAGACTAACCTCTGTTGAAAGACGTGTTGGATGACATATTTCCATATTGACTTCCCCGTCCCGACACAGAGCCTGGAAAACAAATGATCACCATCTCAACACCTGTTCAAAGTAAGCATCCTCTATGAGCACCTTTTATGTTTAGTAGCTAATTATTAAGAGACAAAAGGGAAAGAATACACGAGTTGATACCCACGTTTTAAAATAGCTGTCATTGGGCAAGCTGTCCGGAGGCAGATTGAACTCCTCTGTCGCCCAACGTTTCAACTCCTGCACAAGATTTCTGTCCGCCATCCTGACAGACAACAGACAGTAAACAACTTGTAGCCGAGCGAGCTAACGTTAGCTCGCAACACCGACAGGCTACTGCCCTTGTCGGCCAGCTAGCGAAGTCTACTACCGCTAACGCAGTTAAATATACTCCTTACAGTCTGCTCGTGTGGAAGATGCGTCTCTACTTTAACACACTTTGACTTGGTAACTGAATTGTTTTTATCTGAAATGATCAAACTTTCAACTTCCCGCCCGTTCACAGCACTTCCGGTTAGCACACCGGCCGAGGCAGCGCCGCCGCCGGTTGGAGCCGGTTGTTGCCATGGATACGCAGTGTTATGGGTGTTTGTTTTTGTTGTTGTTTTTAACTTTATTGAGAAGTATTATGGTTGTAGTTTTATTAACTGCTTGAAAGTGGCACCACATGTATACTCTTGCATACACAAATATAACATTCGTGCATTAGTTGATTCAACTTTATTTTTTTATTTTTCAATGAAAATGAATGGTATGATCACTTTTGTTAGTATCATGAACATTTCATTATACAATCCTGCGTTGTCACGATTAAATAACCTCGTAATCTTGTAAATAAAAAATGTAAAACTGACCACTGTTTCTGTAAATAGTCGATTAAACTACATGATATTGAATAAAATGGTGAAATAAACACAATTCAAGCATGTTAAATGTTGTATCAAACAAAATCACACCACTTAAAAAGGAAATATCTTACTGACAACCCAACATATTTTTTCATGTAACGTTAGACAAGCTGAACGGACTTTATACAATCATACTTTTAAAACACAGAATTACAAAATGTAATCCAACAAAGTGCAACTGAGCTAAATTTAGCCCAAAAGAAAACAGTATGGTATTTGTAATGCCACAAAGAAAATATATATTAAGTCAGACACCGGTTCTTCAGTTCCATCTTTTATTTCTTCCTTTACTACAAAGAATCCACCATGTAGTATATGTCTAGATGCACAGCATTAGACTTTCTGTCCACAGGAGCCAAACTGCATTATTTCAGCCAACCACTCTCAACCTTAGTACTCTAAGGTTCACAGGGCGCACTGTACTATAAAGGCCTTAGTAGGTGATTATTTTCAGTTTGTATGTTTTAGTAATAATATGTGATGGCATTTTTCTCCATTGAGGCCACTGCAGCATTAAATAAATAAGACCTGAGTTAAACAAAAATTAAAAATGCTCTCCCCACATTTCAGATTACACAACAAAGAAAATTGTGTCACAATATTTTTTTAAGTAAGGCCTATGATTTCTTCACTCCACTTATACATTTCTTTTAAAAAGTAAAAAAAAAATTACTACATTCACGAGAGCACAAAAGTCAAAAAGAATTCCCCAAACAATTGTTAGCATGAAAAAACTTGCTCAGTTGCTCTCACTGCCATTACCTCTGTGAAAAATGTCACAAGATGCCTTAGCTTGTACTGTATGTCCTTAGCACCATGTCGATGAGCTACCCAGTGGTGACACCAGATTCCACTCAAATTAGAGTTTTAGAGTTTTAATATTTGTTTTAAGTTATCGTATTCTGGTGAAGAGATTTAAAACTGATACAGATTCCTGAAACAAAAGATAAAGGCATTTGGTTAATTGCTTTGCAGATATTGGGAGGGGGGGGGGGTGTAATTACACAAAGCTGTTCCCAAAAAGTGCTTTCTCACCTTTGTTGACCTTGTTTTACTGAATACGTTCCAGAAGCGTAGGGTCTCATCGCCAGCTCCTGTCACTATTGCCTCACCATCCGGGGACATGGCCTAATGTTAAAAAAAAATTAAATAAATCTGACCAGCTTAACATGACCAACAGCAAGATCACATTCTCATCAGACAGAAAACACACACTGACCAGGTAGAGCACTCTGTAAGAGTGTCCTGTGAGTTTGGCAACCTGAGTGAGAGCAGGATATTTCCACACCAAGATCTGGTTCTGAGAGTAGCCGTGAGTGCTCACCTGCAAAAAGAGGCATTATTATAGAAGATATAATTCAGAAGGGGACTTTGTGTAAGTCACCATAAACAAATTAAGTTCAGTTAACACATTAATGTTATTACTGCAAACAAAACCACCTTCTCAGAGATGACATACTGGCCTCAACAATGCATATCGTACATTGTGTGCCAAAGATATAAAAAGAAAGAGACAACACTTCTTCCAGTGTAAACAGGTGCATTTTCCAAAGTATCTCACATGTAAATAGGGAAAGAGCGTAGATACATCATCCCATATGTTGTCTTGATTCTGAGAAAAACTGGCATTAGATAGATGCTACCAAATGTCTTGGTTTATGGAAATGTTCCAGTGTATTACAGTTAACATGAACATATGATGCTTTTTAAGAGTATTAACCACCTTGGTCTTGTTTGCTTGTTGTTTTTAACAGTGAATTGCAGCAGATGTCAGTGAGTTGGGCCGATTCACAATTAATAATGTCTGTGAGAAATCTCTGCAAACTGATATAAAGTAACTACAAATGTATAACATGAAACAATCAATTGCCCATATATTCACTCCATTTATATAACACTTCCAAATTATCACTGCCAGCTTTTTTTTTTACAGGCATTGTGTCAACGCTTAAAAAAACATGCCATGTAACACCTTATTCTGAATGCAAGTGTTACCTTCATGACAAATGTTTCTTTATATCGTCATATAATGTAGCCAACAAATGAACTGTGCACAATGTGTATCTGGACTCACTTACCAGCTCATTAGCATGTTTGGACCAGGCCAGGTTGCAGACCTGAGAGCCGGTGTCCATACACTGCAGCGGCTGTGAGGTGAGGGTGTTCCAAAACCGGATACAGCGGTCGGCAGTGCCGCCCCCTGAGGCCAGCAGGCCGTGCTGGTGGGGGGACCAGGCGATGGCTTTCACTGCAGCCAGGTGATCTGTATATGTTTGTACTGGGCTCAGCGAGGAGTGGTTCCAAACCAGCAGCTGAGATGACAAATAACAGCCACATCAGTAAATACAACGAGTACATGCAGAAAGACAGAGGCAGGATTAATAACAGTAACAACTGTACCTTGTTGTCATTGCCACCAGAAGCGAGCAGCTGATGATCAGTGCTCCACTTTAAGCCACACACTTCCTGTCTGTGACCCTGCAGCCGTCTCTCTGACTGAAGTGGAGGGGTCCGCACATCTCTTTGAAGAATCATACGATCACGGCTTCCCGACGACAACTGGTCAGCATTCCATGCCAACGCTCCTGCGGACAGAGGAAAGCTTAATTTATGTTTGGTCACACTCTCAACATTTGACAGAAATGAAATATTTTGATTGATAGATGATTGATAGGAGACCATCAAGAATGTTAAGATTTAATTCAGCTTAATGCTGGTTGTTAGTTTTCAGTTCATTTGTTTTTTATTGTGAATTGAGTATAATAACCCATGTTGAGAGTTTAAACAGAGCAAATGTTCGTACCAACTCTAGCTGTGTGTCCTTCCAGGGCAAAGAGTTTCTTCCCAGCACCAGCGTCCCAGATCTGAACATAGCCTTTGTGAGTCCCCACTGCCACCAGGTTACCCTAAAAACACAAAGAACCCTTTCATTAACAAAAACTGACCAAAATTGACCAAAAATCCACCATGACAGTTTCCTCCTGGGGCAGTAAGCTATGTGTACTTACCCTTTCAGACCACCCGACTGATGTGACTGAGTCTCCTTCCACTGATAAATCACACAGCCTTGTTACCTGAGGAAAAGACAATTCATACACATCAAACAATTCAAATTCATGTTCCAAATCGAGTTAGTTTAAACACTCTAACCTACCTGGCTGGTACAGGCACTCCACAGGTAAACACATGTACCCAGCCCGACACTGAGCACGTTGAGAGACGACCAGTCCACCAAGTTCAGGTAAAAGTCATCCTGTAGCTCTGGAGCATCCAGGACTTTAAAAGGGATCTTTGAGATCTTGCGAGTTGGCTTTCTTGGTGAACGCAGCAATTTCTGACTGCAACAGGAAAAGTTGGACATTATGAGTTTCTTTGTTTGTGATCAACAATAATGGATCTAAAAACAACATTTTGCTTCTACCTTTTGTTGCTGACAGGTGATAGAGAGTACGGGGAGATGTTGGTACCATTGTCTGGTGATGACCCTTTGGTATTTAGTGAATACTGCAAAGAACACACAGGCAGAAACTATTATATTCTCTACCAGCTTCATTAAAATAACAAACACTGAAGAAAAACTGTAGGATACACTGACTGGACAGTAATGTTATATTATTTGAATTAGTTTTTTACCCCTACTCAAGACTCAGAGAGCATATTGTATGTGTGTCTGTTCTGACATTGTATGATCAATGTGCTTTATAATTCAATATATAAGAGGTATGAGATAAAATGTTCTTACAGTGAAGAGACTTCTCTTTTCTGGGGTTGATGGCTGTAGACGCCGGTCTTCTGTCTGGGGGTCTTGGATCTTTTCTATTCCTGCTCCCAGCAGCTCATTTTTCAGCAAAGCAGAGTAGGCCAGCCCATCTGCTACATGAGCAAAAATATAATGTGTACATGAGCACCAAACTACAATCCTTGGTGCACAAAGGTCCATTTACAAAAGAACAAAATGTTTTTACCTTTGATGTTATCAGAAGAGGCATCCTTGGTTTTTCTGTTCTGACTTGGTGACTTCTCATTTTCCTTAAAATCACATAGATACTGTCATTAAATTGAGACACAAACTTCCCTCAGACAGAACATTCATACAGTAATCAACTTCACCAAAGAGTTTAATACACACAAATAATACTTTTCTCTTGCAAAAGCACAGATAAACTACAGTTTACCCACAAAATGTTACATACATTTATTCTGTGGAAGTTGATATTCCAGTTCGCTCCCGCTCTGGTCGGTATGAATCTGTCTCCAAGTTTACTGGGTGACGATAATGGGGAGCAGGTGGGTGTCCGACTCTGTGTCAGTTTCTGAAAAATTGGAAGTTTGGTGACTTTTCTGATCATGTCATTTAAATACTATTAAATCAGTGTTGATGAACAACAGTTACATTGTTAGGGAACACAGAAAAACAGCAAAGAGAGGGGAAAGAAACAACTCACAACAGGGCTCAAGTTGTCATTTTGAATGTTGATTTGGCGGAGGAGGCGATGTTCATATTCTGGATCCATCCTAAACTGAAATCCTGATCCCGCAGCCACAGGCCGGGAGGTTGAAGACCTGGCCAACACAAGAAGTTGATTAGTAATACATTTAAATTGAATTAAAATGTTATTGTGTCTTTGTTTGATGGTGTTTCCACTTGTATTGTGGAAGGAATCCCATAATGCAGGGTTACAAAGTTATCTTATACAATACTCTGAAAAATAGTGATTTAATCCTGTTGATAGAAAATATAAACGACCTTTCACGTACCTCAGCGCGGTTTTTACAGTTAACCTACTTACCCTGCCTTAAACACCCCCTGATTAAAGAATATAATATAATACACTCACTGTAATAACTCTTAAACTAGATTTAAAGGACAACAGATGAACTAGCTAGCAGCTAATTCCGTTACGAGTCGACTAACTTTCAACCACTTCAAATCATGAAATTACATTTCTTTAAAAAGCCCTGTTTGTAGTTAACTCAATGCCATCAAACGACTGCTTTACATTCATGTTTGTACCAAAAACTAGAGCTAGCTAATGATAACTAGCGTTGGCTAATTTCGCTAGCTAGTGGCTAACCCACTCCTATCATCAACAATAACAATAACAACAACAACAACAACATAACGTCACACTGAATATCAGCGCACACACTCACACGAACAACAGCTGTCGGAGATATCTGATGAAACTAAGCGATATATTTAAAGTTATTCACTCTCAGATGTAATAAAATATAATTCACTTTAGCCTGAAGGGGGGGGTGACAACTGCAGTGCATTGTGGGATTTTTGACACCCCTGTGACGTGTGCCTCTCAAATCAAAACACGGAAATGCTTCATTTGTTTGTTGCCAGAGGACGTGAAGGACTGCTGGATTGTGGGTAAGTAAGAGATGGAGGTCCTTATAAGTGTATCATAACAGAGACAACACTATAATGTGTCCTAATTTTCCCACTTACTATATACACTTATAAACAGTAAAAACATCTTATCAAACATTTAATATTAGTTAACTGGACGTAATTTAACTATATGAAACATGTTTTGGACCTCTGATGTAGATCAAACTGTTTAACTTACCACACAAGTGAATATACTGTATGTTATTGTGCATTAATATGGATGAGTTGAGTTTCCTGTCATGTGCAAGCACCAAACATAGAGGGCGTGCTAGATCTATATTCAAACTCTCCAGGATCCTCTGGAGGCAGGAGTAGAGGAGTACTGTCCCTCTGTGCTGGATGAATTCACATATTATACTTAAAGTAGCCACACTACAGTGTAAAAATAAAAGTCCTGCATTCAAAATCTTAAGGAAAAGTACAGAATTGTTTGCGTCAAATTAAAAAGCATGACAAGTATTTATTATGCAGAGTAGGGACTAATTTTAATTACTGTATATACTGGATAGCCTAAACTCTAAGACTCTAATAAGATATCACAATGTATTCATTATATTTTATTTTATATTGATGATCTAAATCTGCAAAGTAAATAGTCCTAAAGCTGTCAAACACATGTTGTGGAGTATATTTGTCTCCAAAATGTAGTGGAATAGATCCATAAAGTAACATAAAATGGGAATAAGTACAAGAACCTCAATATTGTACTTAAGTACAGTACTTGAGTAAAATTACTTAGTTACATTCAAACACTGTGTATCTGTTTCAAGTCCTTCTAAACCAGCCTATGCTTGTCTTTTCCTAAATTAACTTATTTTAATAATTGCCTGCAGTCTGACGAACACACTTTCCTCTTATGCTACAATCAAAACATGTACCTTGAAACACACATTGATTGATCTCTGTGTGAGTTTAATAACAACAGCAAACAAATGTAAAAATATGTAAATACATAAACATAACGTGATGAGACTTGATTGATCCCATGCAGGGGGAATCCTAGTGTAGTGATAAAAGTAGTAACCAATATAATGTGATGCCCACAGGAGAGATTCTCCTTCCACTTTGTCTGACTATTTTGTAAAGTAGAGAACACGTTTCCATGTCTGCAGGATTAAAGATTGACTCCTCTGAACAGTTTTGGGCTCATTATTTTTCCAAAATCCCAGTAAAACAGAGAACAGTGAAATCATGGCCGTTCTGCAGGCTTCTGATGAAAGACTTGATAATCTAATCAGGCGTGAAGCCTGGTTTTGGTTCATGACAGTTCAGATGTATTTTTAGATTTGATGGCCTCCTATTTTAGATTATACTGCAACAGGATTATAAATTCATAATGTGTGTGTCTGTAATAAATGTTTTGAGTTTGTTTAGATGTTTTGCTCTCATCCAAAAACACTGCTGAATGTACTCTTCTGTCACCGCCCTGTTCTATACAATAATGTAGTGCACTGCTAATGAGCGTGTAGCTGTAACAAAAGACTGAGCACTGTCCCTTTAATGCTGGCAGTGTAGTGATAATAATCCCACACTGAGCGCACAGAGGGCCCCATGTGAACTTCACTGTGGGCTTTCTGGTGAGTGAGCCAATAGAAATGTACCACATCGGACACACAACATAGCTCTACAAGTGTGAAGGAAGCACCCCCTGTCTCTCTCTCTCTCTCTCTCTCTCTCTCTCTCTCTCTCTCTCTATGTGTCTGTCTGTCTGTCTCTCTCACAGACACACCCACACATCAGTGGCGCCAACAAGCAAATCCCCCCTTCCACCTCCCACCCCAACTGACCTCTAATTATGTCATGCGAAAAAGCTGTGTCCCATTGAAAAGCTCTCTTAATCAAACCCAATTAATTCCGCTATTTTCCCTTATTGTCCTTTGCAAGGAACGCGTCTTTCCAATAAGACTGTTAACTCCAGCCGTGGCCCTTTCAGATCTACTGGGGTGCGGGAGCGAAATAATAGACTGCACAATTAATCAATTAGTCATTAGGGACTCAGTTGTTCTTAATGAACACAGTAACTGTGTAGCAGAGCTGAGTAAGGGCTTCCTCGCTTGTCTTCCTATTTGCAATTTACACAACAACCTTAAAATTTGAAGACTGACACCTTAATTTCTGTGACCTTTACAGTTTGACAGTGGAAAAACAGGAAAATGTGCAAATTACTTTATAACGATATCACTCTGCTCCTATAATTACCAGGCTACATGTCATTTCTTCACTTATTTGCAGAGTTGTTTTTAGGTTTTTGGGACTATAGTCCAGATTACGTCTCACGTCTTTATATGCTAATTTAAATACTATTTCCAGTTTTTAAGAGATTAAAATAAAACAGAGTAACTTCCAACTATAATAACTATATTTAGCTCACATTTTAATAACTTTGGGATTTTTAAGAGCTCTACAAGAACTTTTTTCTTGCTGTTTCCAGTCACTGAATCTTAAAACTTAAGTGATACCCACTTGTTTCAATGCAAAGGCCTAATAATCAAAGCAGTGAAGGTATAGAAGGTATGTCTGAAGCTTGTATTATTGTTATTTTTGGTCAAAGAATTCAGGTCAAATCTATAGACAGTCATAGCTAAGGACCGGTCATGGGATACAGTCAAGAGCTGTAATAGCTAAGTATGTAGACCTTGCATTCAGAATATGTGTCACACATACTGTATGTGTCCACAAGGTCTAGACTGATTGAAGTGACATGCTCTCCATGTCAAATACAAGTCTCTACATCTGTGCCTTTATGTGTTTGTTTGCTTCTCCCACTTGCAGGTGAATATCTTATGAAGGGCAAAGAGCTATTATTGGTTATATTGCAACAGTAATCACCTCATGGTTGTGTGAAGAGAGACAGATTGATGTTCAGATTTACTGTCCCAATTACCAGGTCAGGAGGATTAAAGACTCTGAGTCTTCTTACCACCAGAAGACTCAGGATTTTCGCCCTCTCGTGATTTATGTTTCGACATAAAGCAGTTTGTGGACAGATTGATTTTTTTGTACAATCCAGATGTCCGGATTAGATTAGGTTATGTTTTGGATGTAATACTGTTACAAAATAGACGCATCATCAGAAACACTGAGCTGAGATAATGTTAACGTCATATATTAGTACCCAATTGGGCCTTTTTAAGCCCATTTTGCTCTGTGGTCCAGTATCACGTGAGCGAGTCTGGGCCAGAACCTCAGTCCGCTTTCTCCTTTCCTGTGCTTAAATATATGCTGCTTGTCTATGTTGAAAAGACAACCACAGTTTGAAGATGGTTAACAAATCTTAAATTAGCTAATGTTAGTAAAACATACTAGATAACTAGCTAGCTGATCTACATCCATCGTTGGGTAGCTAGTTACATCTGATAGCTAATGTAAGTGATTACTAATTAACTAGCTGAAGATTGTTTTTAGTAGACGGGGACGGGTTGCCAAAAGGGATAGGACGTAAAAAGGGTCAATATCTTTAGAAAACTGGAAAATTTTTTGAGAAGCTTGGATAAAGTCTTATTTGACTCACATTTGAATAAATCTGAGAAAAATTGTCCACCAGAACTTTTTTTTTTTTTTTTCCCATGTTGATGTGGTGCTGCTCTTTTTCCCATGCTTTTCTTTGTGCCACTCACTCTGGCTAAACGCATGCCTACCCCGGCCCCTGGCTGTGGCTATAGCCCCGACCCGGCCCCAGCTGAGCAGTGCCAAGCTGTCCAGCAGTTAGTTAGTGTCTGTTCAGGCCCGGCTCGGCCCGGCCCGGCCCGGGTACTAATCCTCAGGCTGTCAGAGGACCCCGTTCTGAACTCATCCTGCAACACAGGAAAACGCTCTAATTGGGGGATTTTCTACATCATTAACTCTGATGAGCAGCCATCCCACCCTCCTCCCTCCCCTCTCTTCCTCTCCACTCTGACTCCATCCACCTCTCTCTCTCTCTCTCTCTCTCTCTCTCTCTCTCTCTCTCTCTCTCTCTCTCTCTGTCTCCCACACTTTTCTCCTGCTTAATCTCTTTCTTAATGTTTCTCTCTCTCCTTTCTCTCACTCTGATTTCCTCACAATCTCTGTCTCTCCTTTCATCCTTTCTGGTCCAAAGCATTTTTTTCTTTCTCATTCATTGAGAGTAATGTTTGTTCAGCTCTTTGAGAACAACATGAGATGTGATCAGATAAACAAAAATGTGAAAGTTGTGTTAAAAATTCTGTCTTTTACTATTACTGAAAGCCATATGTTTGTTATCTCACACACACCGCACGCTTTGTCTTTGTTTTTGTTTTTTGTTTGTTTGTCTGTTTTGCTTTTCCGTTAGTCTGCTTTGATTGCTCTTGTCATTGATACAAGGTCCATTATTATTTTTTATTTATTTATCTATTTTTGTTTTTTTTTTTTTTTTGCTTGTCCATAGGGTTGGGGGGTCGGGGTTGGAAAAAGTTTGTTCTTGTATTTCTGTATACATGCTGTCACATTTTCAACTGTGAAAACCAATAAATAAAGTAAATAAAATTAAATTAAAATGCATGTAAATGTAAAATGGAGTTTGTGTAATTCTCAGATTTGAGCTCAAATATGGCTTCTCTTTGTAGATCAAGTTCTGTCACATGATTCATAGCTGCTTTTACCAACAACTGGACCCAGTTCTGAGTCACAGAGCCAAGCATTCAATTTTCTGAAAAAGAAATACCTCTCTATGTTTTAAAACCTGAGTGGGTCATTTAACTGTATGTTCAAAGACTCCTCTGGATGAAAAAATATTATTTCTGCTGCTCAATAAAAGATTTTTAACCTGTTTCCCAAACAACACTCCCAACACATTTTTCTTGATGTGGGTAGCCAGAAGTGACATATGTTCTTGCCCTCTTTGTTAACAGAAAATATAAACACACAAACATAAAATATTTGAAAAATATGAATAAATACTAATATATGTGATAGTACAATTATAATTTTGGTTCTTGTTGTACAAAGCAGGGAGGTATGTCGTATTGGAAAACTTGGGAAATAAGTTCAAACTAGAGCTGCACAATTTATTGTAATATTATTGAAATCGCAATATGGTGCGATATCCAAATCGCAGAAGCTGCAATTTTTTGATAAAAGGTCAATTGTGTGACAAACAGGATTATAATGAAGTACTTTCGTGCTGCCCTGACCTATATATCTTGTTCTCCAGATTTAAGAGCATGTTTGTTTAGTACAGACCCCCCAAAATGTTCACATAATGATGATTTAAATTGTTTTTTCAGTTTGTGATGAAAATAATTGTGAATCATATCGCAATCGCGATATCTCTCAAAATATTTTTTATTGTGCAACAGTTGGAATCATTCATACACAGAGTTAAAAAAGTCTTTAAAGGATCCTGGAAATATCTTCTGAACAGCTGTAAGTGTTGTTAAATTACCTTCTGGGTTTATAAAAGTATTTATTTATCTGAAAATCAGATGCTTAGCCCTGTGACTCGAATTAAATGCTAATTCATGACAGGCACAAACCAACAACCCACCACTGGAGTGTAACACAGTATCTAAATAAACATTTCCCAGTTACATCCACTGGCCTACCCATATGGCCCTTGTAGTGAGGTCCATCCAGGCCTCCATCTGTCCAAGAAAGTGATTCACACGCTGAGGGGGCCAGCTAGCACGGCGGCACCGGCCCCTCTGTGAACATGTGTTGCAGCGGCTGAGCCTGCCGGCCCGCCTGCCTGGGGGCAATTAGGGAGTTGGGCCCTGCGGTCAGAGGCCCCCCTGGGAAGCTCTGATTGATTGGAGTCTCATCTTCCTAACAGGCTGGCACCCTGCCATCAAACCATGGAACAGCAGAGAGGATTGGGAGGGGTAAAGAAAGAGAGAAAGAGCTCTTATATGACAGAAAGAGACGGGGCTCAAGTGTTAGAGGAAAAGAAAGAAAAATGTCTCTGCCCATGTATGTCAGATGATAACGATTATACTGTAGTAATCTTGGATCGCTCTTTAGACTTACTGGAGTAAAAGAAAAAAGTGACTGTGTGGGAATGAGTGCACAGGTCAACATGAAAGCACTGCAGTGAGAACGTGGAGATTCTATCAAACTATATTTATTTTCAGTAGATCTTCATTCTTTCCAGAATATAGACATCCAGACAAAATCAAAAAGAAAGAAAACAATGATATCACTAGGACAGATATAACTAGGACATGTAAGAAACAAAAGAAAGAAAAAAATATCCTGTACAAAAAACTAAAACTGTCAAACTTCTAGTGCATTTTTGCCCATTATCTAACCTTTGGCTTGTTCTTGGTCCAAACATTTATGTTGCAAATCTAAAGAAGCTCTTAACGTGCAAGGTAATCCTTATTTGCTCTACGCTGTGAGGTCCTGGCACTGTTCAATAGGGACTCTAATCTTCACTAACCAGCTATCTTAAAACTCTACACGAGGACAAATGACAAGCAGCAGATGTAGAACTGTGTTTTTCCCTCCCCGACCAGTAGTACAACAATGGATTTTAAATTGAACCAGAAATGACTTTATATTGCTCTTGCTGCTGTTGTAGCTGTAGTCGGTGTGGACGTCAGCACAACTTTCACGTCATATTAAAGAGAAATATCACAACCATACAGTTAACACAAAAACTGTCTCTTTTTTAAAACAAAATATAAAAAATAAAAAGGAGTCCGAAATTGCACTTTAAGATGAAGGAGTTTCTCTCCCTCTTGTTCCATACCAACAAGTCAAAAAAGTGAACATACGGGCCTACCATGTAGCTTCTCTGACTGTACTGTACATATTCAGTGATGTGAGATGCTGCCTGTAGATGCTGTTGCTAAAATGTCTCAATATCAAATACAAATCTGTTGAGCTCTACTGCTCATATGAAACACATTGTACTTCTCTACCTTTAAGAGCTCGGCTATAACAGATGGTAAAAGACCAATATTGTGTCACTAATGACCGTAGCAGCTACAATACATGTTTCTCCTCCTTTGATTGAGAAAGGAAAAAAAAACTTCCATGACAAAATGGTTACAAGGGCCTATTTAGTGCCGCCTGAGACCGCTTCCCCCCCCTCCCCTTCAATTTCGGACAAAGAGGATGCACTTGGATCAATTGTGCCGAACAAAGACTAAACTATGTGGGGTGACGCATCACACAGGGCTCTTTCTGCTGCCCTGCACGTACACGCAGCCACCCAACACTGAGCTGCCAACAGGTTTTCTCCTCCAACAGCCACTCAAGCAAAAAGAGGGTTACTCCGCTCACTAGCCTGTCTTTCTTTCTTTCTTTCATACTTCCTTCCTTCCTCCCTCGCTTCCTTCTTTAAAGCATCTCAGCATTCAGTAATAGTGCAGAATTATTTTTGGTATATTCTCAGCCCTGGTCCACTTAGAAGGTGCCATCAGATCTCTGACCTCTAGTACACTTTACCACCTAATAATTATCTATTTTGTAGTTTTTGACCCCATATTGAGAGATTCTCCTCTCCCTGTATATAAAAAAAAGAACACGACAGCAGGCGTCACTGATCCTCGGCTGTCATCTTCCTCCAGTCATACCAGGGCGTGCATCTAAGCTATAGGCTCAAATATTTAAACGGGGCAGTCAGTAAGTAGCAACATAAACCATGCTGTAGTTGCAAGATTATCTTCTTTTCTTTTTTTTTTTAAATCAACAGTGAGATATTAATTTGCAGTCACAGTCAGATACATTGTCATGTGTCTTCACATAGCTGCTCTCACATTAAACTGAGACTGGACTTTCATTCACAAAGTAATCTGAGACTCTGATTAGCTGACCCATGAAAATGCGACAATTGGATTAATTAGTAAAAGCACAAACTTTGTAAAAAAAAAAAAAAAAAAAGGGAAACATGAACAGCTGAATGATGTTTTGTCTGACTCAATTTCTGATGGTTTACAGAAATAACAGAAAAGAGATGAGAACAAAAATAATTCCATATTTGGGTGGTTTTCAATGACAGTGTTTCCCTGTTCATGAACAGCTGTCGCAATGGACATATAAACATATCTAAGTAAGTACGTTTGTGACCCATGCCAGTTTTACTAGATAAGCTGTTCAACAATATGGACGAACCAATGCATTGATCCAAAAGTACCTTTAAAGATAGTTTGTTATGAAAAGTAGTTGTTAAGGAAAGAAATCTCCGTGCTCCTGGGGTGCAAGTTTGCGTGTAGAGCATTGGTCATTAAGAAGACATTTGCTTTTACAGCACTCAAGGCAACGCTAAACACTTAGAGATTGGAGGGAAAACAGATGTCTGGTAATTAGTGCTTTAAAATTAACACTTTAACAAGACTGTAGAGTTCACGTTTGCTCCATGTCCTTGAGATGAAAAAGAAGAAAGGTCAAAGGCCTAAAATCCTCAGTTTTCACAGTTCAAAATTCATTTCCTTCCTTTGCTTTGCTGGGTAGCAGACATGTCACTGTCATTTTCCAACATTTTACTGGGTATCTTTTACCCTGAATCCCAAGAAACAATTTCAATTTCTTCATTTCCCAGTGTCATTCACATGTACTGCCAGGTTTGTTAGTCACATGGGTTGCCAGGTCTTGTCCATAGACTGGATGTGTTCCTTGGCTTTCATTCTCAGTGCAGCGATACTAGAGCTGCGCTGGTCCACGTCCTCCATAGGGTATTTATCAGGGTACGGTGCAGGACACTGGTATGGAGGAGGAGCCATACTTTGCATCCCCTGGCCCATGGACGGATGAGAGTGAGGATGAGAATGAGAATGAGGATGAGGATGAGGATGAGGACTGGAGTTGAGGAAGCTGTGGCTAGGGTAGCTGGGCTGGAGGCCTTGAGCTGGACCCATGAAGCCCGGGATGCTGTGAACTGGTGTAGCACTGGACAGGGGAGAGGACAGCCAGGGGTCCAAGGGGAGGGAGTTAGTCATCGGACCCATGCCGGTGTGAACTGGTGCTGGGCGGTTGAAGGACAGCATGGGCGAGTCGTGGAGCTTCATGGTGCTGGCATCCAATTTTTCCTGCCGACGCCATTTAGCTCTTCGGTTCTGGAACCAGACCTGGGGGACAAAATCAAGTTACATCACAGTATAATATCACGATCATCTAAATAAGAAATTATTGTCCATCAATACACCACTGCAAAATAATAGCACAATGATTATCTCAACCCAACTAAACTAACTTCAGAAACATAAAGTTGCAGTTAAATATGTACAAGCACTGCAGGTATGGATGGTGTTTATCATCATGTTTGCAGCACGAACCAAACATTTCTTGAGAAGTTGAGCTTGAAGGTTAATTTATTCAATTCTGCATTGATCATTGTTCATTGGCTGTTTCTACTCTTCTCTCTTCCTCTCTCTAACTCCAACCAGTCGAGGCAGACAGCCACCAACCTACAGCCTGGCACTGCTCGAGGCTTCTGTCTCTTAAAAGGAAGGTTTTCCTTGGCACTGTCGCCAAGTGCTTGCTCATGGTGGAAATTGTTGGGTCTCTTTAAATAATTTTATAAAGACTATGGTTTGGACCTGCTCTATTTGAAAAGTGTCTTGAGATAACTTCTGTAATGATTTGGCGCTATACATATAAAATTGAATCATCTCTTCAACCACTGATGGCCATAAGATTCCGCTAAAAACTCACAAAATGTCCAGTAAGAGGCCAATGTGTTAAGTTATTTAAGTTTATAAGTTGCCAAATTCTTTGAGAGCTTAATTTTCACGTAACTTCTTCCTCCCTCTGCTGAATCCAGCTGCCGACAACAGCCTGTATGTTCTCCCTGAAATTTACATTATGTGGAGATTGTCCGTTTGTGTTTTGACCTGTGTAATCCCACCGCCTATTTGGACACCCCGGGTTGCCACATATGAAACTAATTTGCGTGTGGAAACAGCATGCTGCAGCCGTGGTTGGAAGGAAATAAAAATGTGAATCAGCAGACATAATGCTGGATTCTGCCTCAGCATCCGGTCAAATACGGGTTAATACTGGAGATGGGTTTGAAAGACAGAGACAGGTTTTGTCCTTTTGTCCTTAGTTAGCCCATTTGATTCCTCTAAAGACGTTTAAAGACTGCACCTTTTTGTCCTTACAACTCAACATGACGTTGGCATTGTGGGATTTAACAGTTGGAAACACCCTGCTTGCGTAACTATCCAGTACAATCTCCTCACCTGAATACTGTCAAGCCAAAGGCCAAAGGCTTAGCGTGTTTCCTAAAGAGCACCTCAGCATTTGGAAACACACCACTCAACTAGTGATGTGGTACTGTAATTATTCTACTGCTGTAATATATTGAGGAACACAAGACAAAAACAAAAAACATGAACACTGCGGACTTGGACACTTATGTAAATATACACATTATCTTTAGCTTCATTAATGAGAAAACTGACTGAAGGAACATTTCTGATGTCAAAGGATCTCTGTGATGTTGACTTCTTGTGCATCCGCTTACCTGAACTCGGACCTCCGGGAGGTTCACCTTCATGGCGAGCTCCTCGCGGCTGTACACGTCTGGGTAGTGGGACTTCTCAAAGGCACGCTCCAGCTCATGCAGCTGGTAGGTGGTGAAGGTGGTGCGGTTGCGCCTGTGCTTCTTCTTGGGCTGATCGTCCTTGCATGGCTCCGGAGACTTGCCTTCATCACTCTCTACACTCTTCCTCAGCTCATTCAGTTCCTCATCACACTTGTTTGTGAATAAACTGGTGTCTGTTGAGCAAGAAAAATTTGTCAGGAGTGTAGATTTTCTTTATATACGTTTTCATAGTTTCGTGAATTGTGACTGTCTGTTACAAATATGAACTATAATTTAGAAGAAAAACAAAAGCAGAATGGTAAGTTGAAATGAAGGATGTAGTGCCCACTTTCCAGTAGAGCAGACATTGGTTTGACACCTGCAACAATAGGCTACTGTAGGTCAGTGAAGCAAGCAATCCCCTGAACTTCAATGAAGCTCAAAAACATTCCTAATCGGATTTAAAAAGGTTTATCTTTTCCAAAAGTAAACTTTCCTCAAAAGATGTTTGGAAACAAGAGTGTTCCCTTTCCTTTTCTGGACTGAGCTATAAATTACTTTGTTGTTTACATGGCATCACATTCGTTATTTAACATTTTATTTTTACATAGACTGCAAAGTCGTTCCTAGTTCATTCCCACGGTGTAGTTGATTATTCTGATTATTATTGAAGCAGTGGCCACAAAAATAAATATTCACTAAAATGAATCAAAAATGTGAATACAACTACATCCTGTCAACATTTAGTTTCAACACCAGAGAAACACAGTACCACATTACACATTACGCAGCAGAATGGAGTCCTTAACACTGAATTAGTCTAACCAGCAAGTAATTGAATTAAACAAAGTACAAAGATGATGATCCAGCAATCAGATCAGTCGCTCTTGTGAAGCAGCCAGAAGGGTTTATCTCTGCTAGGATCAGACCTGAATCAGGTACCATACACGATTCAGGTTGTGTTGGAGAAGTTGTCAATCACAGAAAGTAGGTTAAATTGACTTTAAAATGCTTTCCTGGTAGAAGGATTAGAATTTGCATCTAAGTAGAAAGAAACATTTGATCCTGATTTGGCCCACAAAACACTGACATATCAGCATCCCTTTAAAGTAGTATGGAGAACCTTATGCTTATTTACACATCAACAGTTATTAGGAGCATTATTATTCAGTCTATTGTATAATTTTTAGAGGTTTTTCAGTTGCCTGCCAAAGATGACACTATGAGAGCAGAATGAACCAAAACAGTAAATTTAAGGACTGCAAAGCTAAATAATGAGTTTACTTGCTATATACCTCCTTAGAGCTGAGGGAAGCTGCATATTCAAGCTGCACTGATAATCTCTGTATCACTACAAACATAGTTTTCACATTGTTGCTTGATACAGTGTAAAATGTTGATTATAGCTGCTTTAATTTACAGCTTATTATGTCGAACTAGTGATTCTAAAGTCAAGAATTAACCCTCACACTTAATGTTATTGTCCTGACTGTAGTGTGGAGTTAGAGGTTTTCTCAGCATCATTCTTCAACACATGTTGACTGTCAACCTGTCGCTGCAACTGTCAACAACTGACAATATTCAAATGTAAATGTGAGCATGTGTCTGTGACTGAGACGTGTTGATGGAGATAAAGTGGGGGTCATTGTGGTCTTTCAACTGGCAAATGGGAGCAAAGGCAAAGCAGGATTTTTAGGGGTTCATTTATCCACCTCTCATTAAGCAGCTATGACAAAGGCCAGGCTCTGACAAAGGCAGAGGTCAGGTCTGGTTCAGTGACCAGCTCTCGGCCTGTCAGACCATCACAGCCACTGGTCTGAAGGCTGCCCACTGTTTATCAGCCAGCAGAACATCTCAGCACAGCGAGGAGGAGGAGGGTGGGGGGGCAACTGACACCAAGCACAGAAAAGTTGCTCATTCAGGGGGAACTGGGCTGACTTCACAGGATAGTTGCATACAAAAGAGTGATGTCATTGGTGTTGATGTACGTTAATCAAGAGAAACGAATGTCCTCCTGGATTCAGCGACTGAATTTGAATCACTTATAATCAATTTTTTTGCCGGACAAGATATATCCGTGTTTCTGCCACAAAATCACCAACCACCTGCCAGATCCTGCATGTGAAAATAGCTTCAGATTAAACGTGATGAATTTGACTCTGAAGAGCGAATAATAATAACAATAACACCCGAATGAACTACTGTACAATCTAATCTGCCCAGAAGAGAAGATTAGGGGAATTCCACAAGGGGATGGGATTGGGCTTGGGGACATAAACCCCTTGCACCATCTTGTTCTGTGATTTATCTCTCAATCTCAGCCCACACAGTTAATGCAACAGGCTCGATGTGGCTACAGTGTGTAACACAGTGAGTCTACATGTGAGTGGTTTTAAATGAATGCAAGCTGCATTGCATAAGATCTGATGGTTCTAAAATTGGCTCATTTAAATAGGTCAGATTTCTAATTATCAGTTGTCTCTGCCTGTCAAACAATGGTTCAAATAATTAAACAAACAAACAAACTAAACACATTTCACAGGTCTCAGGTCCACAGAGTCCTGGCGTTGTGTTGTTAACAGAAGAATAGGACTGATTTCAACACTTTGTCTTCTCATTTGAATAATTGCTGAATAATTCATGTAATATTATACCAAAATGATGCTCCATTGTTTGGTTAATTAAATCTTTTTCATTGCCCTTGCAGTTTTTAAACTTATAGGCCTACAGTGCAGATTTGTCAACATACAAAAGAATTACATTATATGAAATAATAAATGTTTTGAGGATGTTTTTCTTTTAAAGCTGTGTCTTTAATCTCTTTTTAAGTGAGTCAGAAATAGTTTTTTAAGGTTTAAGTTTTGGAAGTACGTCTCTTGAGTGCATGCTGTGCTTGCTGTACATGCTCTTTGATATGCTTCCTTATCTTATAAACTTCATACCGGTCAAACTTAACAGTATAAACTCATATTTTGGCTTTGAAGTTTTTCAAAAGATCATAACTTCATTCTGGCATATTATTAAGTTTTGTTTGAACCATGAAAGACTGAATCTGTGTTGGTGGACAGATAACTTTATGGTCAGCTCAGTTTGCTGAGAGGCATCAATATTCTCACTTCAGTGCAGCAAAATCAATTCTTTCTTATCCAATTCAAATCTCTGAAACACTGAACCTGGACCTCATACTTATCCAGCTTTCCGAGACCAGAGGTGCGATAATCAATATCCTTGACCATCATAACCAAACTCTAAGGCATTATCTGCATTGAACCAAAGGAGCTCAATAAAATTGATACCTGGTGGTGCAGAAAAAACATCTGCTACTCCAGGATGGAGACCAACATCCCCAACATCAGCAGCCCGACTCACCGTGGTGGTACTGCTGCTGCTCTGAGCTGCCGTTTCTCAGGGAGGAAAGGTGCCCGCTGTAGGTTGGGTGTGACGAGGGCTCCTGCTGCTTCCCAGGCTCTGCCAGGCCATCTATGTCCACTTTATGGGGTCTTGGGGCCCCAGCAGGGTTGAGCAGGGGGTCCTGGTCCTTACTGAAACCTAGAATGACATCAATGCTGTGGACGCGGCCCCCTGCACCGATGCCCCCACCTTTCCCCATTTCGTGGAAGTTGCTGGGTGAGAGGCAGCTGTCGTCCACCATGCTCATGGTATCCAGTGATAAATGCATTCGAGCGTCTGGGCACTGTGATCAGAGGAAGAAGGTTTACAGTAAGCGAAGAACTAAAAGTGTAGTAGAGAGTAAGAGATCACCTGGTTACCCTGGATGACTCTCCTTCTATCCCTCCATCCATCTAAACCCACTTATCCTCTGCAGAGACCAAGGGGGGGTCGAGAGTCTATCCCTTAAACTCTGAAAGCTACAGTACATATGGAAGAGTGATGAACACTAATGGTACAAACGTTACTTCTTAATCCATACTTTTCACTCTTTCTATGAATGATCCACACTAATGGCCCCACAGTGTTGATTATGAATATGAATTAACAGCAACATTTTGAATTGACATTCAGTTTCCACTGTTTCCAACATTTCTCATAAAAACCAAACCCAGATCAGAAGTCAAGGTCTCTCTTTTTGAATAAAGACTTATATCCTGTCATTCTACTGATAATATTGCCTCTCATTACTTTTTTACATACTATAAGCTTATAACTAAAACAAGTCTTATTGGTGTCAGTATTGTGTTTTAATAAGTATAGATTGTAACTGTAGCAAAGATCCAAATCTTCAAAGAGTAACAAACTATTTTTTAGGAAGTGTGATGTCTGCAGTTATGGTCTGTATCTATCTATCTATCTATCTATCTATCTATCTATCTATCTATCTATCTATCTATCTATCTATCTATCTATCTATCTATCTATCTATCTATCTATCTATCTATCTATCTATCTATCTATCTATCTATCTATCTATCTATCTATCACATTTCATTCACAGGTCATGTAATCTTTGGATAAGTAATGCATAATGAAGAAAAATTAGGTTTATGTGTTGGAGAACATATGTCTGCAAAAAAGGTGGAAATAAGGTAACGTGAATGAAGTTGAGTAAATCACATTGTTAATTAATATACCATCCCAAATTAGAAAGAAAGGAGTGTAAAGTGGGAAAGTTAATTAATCTTACTGGATTTGATTTGTTTGTTTTTTTATTTGTGCGTTAAATTTATTTTGTATTCTTGTATCTATTACTTCTACAGACATAGAGCAAAAATTCAAGCGTTCACACACAGAGGAGCAAGATTGTGTGTCATTTTAATAAAACATATTAGTTTAAAGAGCAACAGCGTGTGTCTGTGTGTTATGTGTCTGCATCCAAAGATTTACAGTGATTTACATATGTATATATATATATATATATATATATATATATATATATATATATACTATATACATATCTCTATCATTTTGGACCACATCTCCACTTTGCATGACGAGTAACAGCTGAAGTTCAGTGTCATTGAGAAGTGTGACAACCATAAACCCAGACAGTGGCAGAGCTTACCTTTTGGAAGTAAATATGTTGAATTGTTAAAAGTTGCTGATGCCAGTGCTCCACCTGTTCCCCTCAGCAGTTCACCCTCCTGTAACTTCACTCTTCCCAGATCCGCAATGTGCACCGCTCGCAGTCACTCAGCCGGATTTGCTTACCTTGCATCTCTCTCTAAGTAATTTCTCTATGTAGCAAAACAGTCCTGACAGAAACACTCCAACAAAGTGCAACTAAACAAAAGCCGTCCAGTGCAGAGAATGCTCAACAACTGAGTTCAGACACCATGTACTCCAGCTCAGAGAGGAGAGTGGAAGAGGAGAAAGACAGAGAGAGAGAGGTGGACAAAGCTGAGGGGGCGTAGGAGGTGTAACGAGGGGATTAGGAGAGGGTTATTAATTGGAATCCTTCCCCTTTAAGAGTGATTGGCAGCTGTTTTCTGCTCAAGTAATTGTTTTAAATGTCATTTCCATTCACCCCCACAGGAGGAGGCCCAGGCTAATGAAGCCTGGACAAGACTTTCTTTCATAAATTTATTGTTTTAAAGACAAAAGACCCACTGAAAGTTTTCGCTGAGCTTACTCAGCCCCTCCATTATGTGTAATAACAAGGGAGAGAAAGGAAACTTGATGATAACACATGCGGTAAATACTAATATCAGCATAAAGACTATCTTCATGCAACAAGTTGATGTCCACTTATTCATTTACAGTTTTTCTAAAATAACATTTACACAAATATCCCACCAAAACCATAATGTTTATTTCATTCATCAAAACTGTAAATGACATCAGTGTGATTGTCTTAAATTTCACCAAAATATTTTATTTGCTGTAACATTCCTACATGTGATCTGTCTTGATTCAATCTGACATCCTAATACAAGGACCAATACATTTATTTTACATTAATGCAATGTAAGTCATTACTTATACTTAATTAACTGTAGCCAGATACAACTTATTTTGCAGTATTTAAAAAGAGACAAATATTGAAATACTATCTGTTACCTACAGTTTGGCTGAAATGGGTTTTACTGCCAACATCAGTTTTTTTTAAATCAAATCATTGAGAGATTAATATTTTATGTTGATGTTAATTATCTTGAAAAATCCACTTTAATTCAATTAATTCATTTCCTAGAAATTCTTCTCAGAGTTAAAATGACTCTGAAAACATCGCAGTAATATTTAAACTACATTATAATTCAGTTGGGACACACAGAGGAAACTGTTCTCCAGTCATATAAAGTAAAGTCAACCCACCATGCCCATTCACCGATAGGGAACACTAAAGCTTAAATACATTAATTAAAAAATAAATAAATAAATAAAATAAATGAATACATGAAGCGTGTAGAAAAAAATTGTTTGTATTCTGGGAGGAACTTCCATTGTATTATTGTCAGATGACACTGTTGGAGAAATACTGGCCTGTAGGAGGAGAGGATGATACAGGAACAGGAAATGTGACACAAAAACTCCCCTTGTGGAGATGCAGTGTGTCTTCAAGGCTTTTAATGGGAGGCTTTTAAAAATGTCCCATTGGCTTTAAAGCTGCATTTGACAATGAGATAAGACTATGATATAATGATTATTAACAGACTCCTAAAGGTTGCTTGATGTTTAATGTTGAGTGGAAACAAAAGCCTTCAGCGGATCAGAAACAGTCATAACTAGCTCTCTGGATACTGGGATGTTGTTTCTTTGTGTACTGGAGCACAAAAGTTTTGCTGTCAGCTTTAAACCAGTGGAGACGGTGCAGTTCAAAGCTGACCCCGGCTTAGTGTCACAGAAATCAGCCACGACTCTAAAGACGCTAAAGAGATTTCCTGTGACCTCAAACATATCTGAAGCTAAAGTTAGAGAAACATCGACAGCTCATTCAATTTCAGTCTTTACTACTGGGAGAAAGTGCACATGAAGAAGCCAAGTCTGCAGAGAGCAACAAGGAAGGAGATAAAAAAAAATGTCATTGTTTTCTTAGGGAGAGTGGAGATTTTAAATCATAACTGCTCAGAAACTAAATTTAAAGTGGATTATTCAGACACTCTGTGGCCCCTTAATGCACTGTTTGTGTTAACTATAATACAGCTTAGACATTAAAGCTGAACACGCCAATAACGCCAATCTTTTTTTATGTGTATTAGTATTTCATCAGCTTGAAACAGGTGGTATGCATTCAGATTTAACTGCTAACCCAAAACATGTACATAAACATACATACAAACAGAGATTATCTATTAAATTAAATGTCAAATGACAATATCAAAATTCATTATTGTGACAGATTTGTCTTCTAAAGTGGTATCCTGATACCTTGCAAATTTAGGCGAGAAAAATATAATTAAAAGGTAATTCTGATGTTTTCTTCATTGATTGCTGAACGCTTTAATCCAGGGGCCTCAAACTGCCGGCCTGGGGGCCATTTCCGGTTCAGTGATATATTTTTTTATCCCTTCATATACAATTAAAATAAAAACACAATTCTATTTTTAAAAATGTATTTCATTTGGCACAAAATAAGGGAAAATGTCAAAGGTGTTTTTAACAGAGGTAGAAAGCATCCTGACCGAAAACATCACAATCTGGCATTAGATGTGTTCGGCATAGGACAGGAGGACTCTGCAGCGGGTGATTAAAACCAGCCAAAAGATAATTGGTACTCAGCTACCCAGCATCAGTGATAATGGTGACGTGAGGTACTTGCACGGAGCCCAAAGGATTCAGCTGCTATCTGTGAAGAGGGACCACCAGACTTAGATCAGCTTCTTCCCTCAGGCTGTAAGACTGTTAAATACTTCCTCAACAATTCATCATTCAAATGGATATATTTTTTATTTTTATGAGCCATTAATCTGTTTTTATTTTGTTTTTAAAAGAAGTATAAGGGGAGCTGTATTTAAATTTCATTCTACAACCTTATATTGTAAATGACAATAGAAATAATGTAATCCTTGAAATTCATGCAAACAGTTGATAAAAAGGTTTATTTGTTGTTTGGCTGTGAACAACAAAGCTGATATAAAGATGTGTAGAAAGTAGTATGATGTTAGTAATGGAAATACTTTCAGAATATTGCGCTTTCTTGTAGTACGTTGACAATAAAGTGGCTACAATAATATTTGAGTTATCTTCAATACAACTGTCCTGCTGGTGGGACAGTTCTTACTTACTCTGTCAAGCCAAACTATCGTTCACACCCACAAATCTTTGTTTTTAGTTCTAGTGGATATTCAAAGTTTACACAGACACCAGATATAGCAGGCTAAATTTTGAGGAAACATGCTGAATGATACACAAGACTGGATTATTTCCACCTGACTGAATGTTGCATTCATAAAAATACATCCATATGTACAGTGCCTGAAATGGGTATGAGTACGCTTCCCTCTTACTGAGTACAGCCACCTCTGGTGAGCATGGCTGTACCCACCAGTGAGGTCACCAGTATTTTTTTGAAGGAGTAAACCATAAAAGTCTAAAAATAACTACTTTGATGCTTTGATGAATGCCCCAAAACCCCCTCTAACAAGTTCAGTTTTTGGACCTGGGTATTTGAAAAAATTTGAGTACAGCAGCGTTGGATGACTTACTCCTAAACAACTGCGTACCTGCTCTGTGTAAACATGTAGATGGTTTAAGGTTGTGCTGAATGATGGTACTGGAACCTTGTTTTGGTCCAATTCAGGCACTGCTTATGTAAATTCTTTATTTACTTGATAGCTTGATGACTGGATGTTAAGTGGTTTAATAAACCGACTGTAACATGCCTTTAATTTCTTTGTGACAACTCATTCATGTTATTCAAACTGTGTTTAGGTCGAATTATACCATTGACAGTATATGAGGTGATAATGTGCATCATTTCAATTTCAGTTGAAAGCACAAATAAAATATAATATTATATAATATATAGATATATATAATCAAATATCCATAACAGAGGCATTAACCCTCTATGGTACAGTGTTGCCCTCAGGCAACACACCCATTTTTGGCCTGTCAAATCTCCACAATGCATCTTTTTAAATGATACTATACTTTTAAAAAGAGGGAAGACCATAAGGAACCAATAACAAAGCTTTAATTTGTCACATGACTTTCAGGAAGCCATATTGAAACCCTTTTTGCAGACATTTTCAAAGGAAACAGCTTTGCAATTTTGCGCCACAAAAAGGGTCTGAAAACATCATTTCTGGGAACTTTTCAAGCTGGAAAAAAATATATTCACACTAATATGTGACTAACCCTTCATTTCTGATAGTTTAATGCATTTTTTTTTTGCTAATTAAATAATGGAAACTTGATAAAATGCAACTGTTGCCCAGAGGCAACAACGTACCATTATGGACAATTGCATATGTTTGAGGCAACAGTGAACCATTATGGAATCACCATGGCAGCATGAGATTTTGGTAGTGTGTGTTTAGGTATATATAATGTTCAAAAGCATATATAATGTTCAAAAGCATGTGATCTTTACAATTTAACAAAGATACATTTGATGTTTGTTGCAGTAAAGTAAAGTTCAGACTATTACTATACTCTGTAGGCCATAGTGAACTTTGCCTTATTTAGCCTTATAACTTTGTCTTATTTGCTTATAGTTTCCACACATTTCCCTCCATTTTTCTTTACCCCTTTAAGGAGGTAGAGGGTAGAAATCACACTTCAGGTTGAGCATAGTGAAGTTGAATAAGAATTAATTAGTGATGAAGAATGCAGTGCTATCATAACCTGTGTGTCAGGACAACACTGACCATTGACCTGTTTGGGTGGAGAAAAAGGGGCAGGTGCAAATACCCAGGATGTAAGGGTATAATGGAAGAGCAGTGCACACAATGTGTCACCTAGCTGTTCTTCACTCCTGAAATAAACTGCCATAAGCACTGAGCAGCAGTCGAACGATCATTACAGTGTGTTGTTCCACAATGGTACAATGTTGCCTACAGGCAACGTTCAGACAAGAAACCCTTTAAAATAGTTCCTTTTATAATATTTTTCAATTTAAAATGGCATGTAACCTGTTGAAGCTATTGAATCTTTTACACATGTTTATGAAATAAATTATGTTCAAATAAAAAAAAAACCTCTCTTTTTCACTTTAGCACCATTATTGTACAATGTTGCCTACAGGCAAAATGTATTTTTAAAAATAATTTTTATAAAATTTCTTTAGATTATGTTTATTTAGTCTATTTTAGGACATAAAAACACTCCAAACATTTTTTTCCTAACTGGCATCATAATGCGTACCATAGAGGGTTCAATAGTCATCTAAGTTCTAATCATCTAACATTATCTTGCCTCAGCAATCCTTCATTCCCAT